CTCTGCAATCATCTTCTTGCACTGCTGGAGCTGCTTGTTGCTGTCTTGTTGTCTGCCTCGCTCCGCCTTCAGCTCTGCCTGCAGCTGGCTCAGCACTCCGTCTTGCTGCTCTATCTGAATATAATAATAATAATAATAATAATAATAATTGTACAGTTGTAGCCCACATGCACCTCAGTGCTACTTAAAACCAGTTAGATATTAAGCACCTGTAGACAGGCAGTTTGAATTTGAAAGAAAGAAAGAAAAAAACTAACCAAAAAAAAAATAATAAATAAATAAAATAAATAAATAATAAAACTCATTAATCAATCAATCAATAATAATAATAATTATAATAATAATAATAATAATAATAAATTTAATTTAAAAGGAAAGAAAATACCATCACCTGTTCGCCCAGCATCCTCTCCTGCTCCCTAGCGCCCTCTAGCTCAACTCTGTATTTATCCGCGTGCTGTTTGTAAGACAGCCCCTCCTGCGCTATCCTGTGATGTTCCTCCTTAGCACCTATCAAATCTTTGCGAAGCTTCTCAATAATTTGCCTCTGTTCCTCAATTTCTTCCTCATAACTTTGATTTCTTTCTCGTAGAGTCTTTGTCTCAGTCTGATATTTACGTATTGTCTGCTCGTGACGGACGACTTCCGACACCCGACTACTGAGCTGCTCCTGAGTTTGTTGTAGGCTTTGCTCCATCAGCATTAATTTTTCTTCGTGGTGTGCAAGCTGTAAAAAAGAATCATTATAAAAAGGATTAAACTAACAAAAATCCCTGGAAACTGGGCACTAGCAACAACCAATGAAACATGTTTTATGTCAAAATAACATAATTCAATCCACTAAATATAAATACAAAACTGTTCCAGATCACCACCATCTTTTTTACTCAACTTATAAATCTATTGATTCAACATAATTTCAATATTTTCCCTTTCAGATGCAAGCAATGTTTCACAAAGGAGGGGGAAAATAATGTATTTGTTTGTAAAATGACATTTGAAAAAAATCAGTGTGCCAATCTTCTAAAACTGGCTAAAAGCCTTCTGAAGCATCATAGTGAAAAATAAAAAAATTAAAATCTTGTCACAGCAGTGTTCTTAATATAAAAAATTAAACCTGGCATGGCCACTTCTAATCATTAATTCTCCACATAGGAAAAGTGCAAATTGAACGCAGACTTCAAATCAAAACAGATATCTGTAAAAATTGGTACCACTGCAGCAATGATAATATTGCAATCGAACACTGACAATTTCCCACCTACCACAATCTATACTGTTGTATGCCTGAAATATGGCAATATGTTCATTTTGACCCTTTGTCTCAAATGATAAGAAAGACTGTTCTCTGTGAACCAAAAACCTTATGTTTTATTATTTCAAAATAAATTAATTTAAAAGAAAATACACAAAATTTCTCCAATTGATCAATTAAGATAGTCAAAACACATTTAACCTGGTCTGCTGGACAGCCTTTTAAAAAGTTGCTTTGATTAAAAGACAATGAAATATGTCACAGCAGATTCTTAGACCCGGGTGTTTTGTAGGACCAACAGGGGGAAAAAAAAAGCTTCAGACTGTACCCCTCCCCTCCCTGCTACTCACATCCTGAGCACAGTCTCTATACTGTGTCCTAGCCTCTGTCAGGTCCTGTCTTAGACCACCCACTTCAGCCTGCAAGTCTGCATTCTGGAATACAACACAGAAATAAAGTATAAAACTTAATTTAAAAAATAAATAAAAAGATTTAATATCTCATTGCTGTCGAATAAAAATGATGATGGGGCATTTTAAAGCAAATATTGTGTACAAATTTTGCATGGCAATGTTACTTTGTAAAAATAAATAAAATAAATGAAATAATAAATAAATAACTCTCCTATAATATTGGGAATTTTCACTCAGTTAAAACTACCTTCAGACCTTTTTACTTAAAATGCAGTTCTTGAACTATTATGAACCAGTGAACGTGAAATGTGACAGATCACATATGATTGGTTCTTCTATGCATCTGTATACATATGGACTAAAACAAACAAATGAACCAAGAAAACTACATATATAAATAAACAACCAGCTACTTACAGAGCTTTCCATAGATCTATTGTGTCCCTGGAGGTTAGCCAGTTCTGTCTTCAAATCTCTGACTGTGGACTCTAGATGGTCAATCTGGAATTGGGATAGATAAAAGTTAATAAAATACATTGAAATACAATAATCCAATGGAAATAAATAAGCAAGAATTAAGAAAGAAAATTCAAAATTAGTAGTAGGAGATGCTGATACCCAAAACAAAACAAAACAACCAATCTTATTCAACCTTAATCATGTTTGGAAATTATGCTCCATTCTAACCCTGATTTATAACTTCCTAAGATGATAATTATAATGAACTTATAGAATCAGAAACCGAAAACCTCTCTCTCTCTCTCTCTCTCTCTCTCACACACACACACACACACACAAACTTACACACAGCATACAGCCCCACAAATGACACATGCACGCACACAAATACACATACACACACATACAAATAACATACACGCACACAAATAACACACATACACAAATGACATACAAACACCCAAGTTACACACACACACACACACACACACATTTAACACCCCCTCCCTGTCCCCACTCACTGACCTCACTGGCCTTGACATTGATCTCCTCCTTGGAGGACTTGATGTCCAGCTCATTCCTCTTGTTGGTCTCCTCCCTCCTGGACAACTCCTGCTCCAGCCTGGAAGGATTATCAGAATTATAATATACATTGGTTACAATATACTGACAATTTATGAGAGGGGGTAAAATGATTTGACTTTCTACCATTACCATCTAACATAAAATAATGTCATCAACATCTTTATTTCTTGATACATGCATAGCCTTTTCCTCAGAAGTGCTTCATGACCTGTCTGAAACTGATTTCAGTTATAATACCCAATAATAAAATGTTCATATACTATAATCAAATTTTTTACTTCCATTTATTTCTTGAATATAATTTTATTATTGTTTTATTGTTCTTGACCTGAACATGATTAAAGAAAACTGCAAAGACACCTGAATTTGTTAATATGGCCAAAATAGAGCACAAAAAGGGACAAGCATCCACGCCTATACATACCTGAGTACCTGCTGCTTGGCCTGTGACAGCTGTGTCTCCAGTGTCTGGACGGCATCCTCCATCTTGGTGCTCTCGGCCTTGTGTCTCTGCTGGGCTGTGGCCAGGTTCAGCTGGAGCTGCTGGATACTCTGCTCAAGACGGGCAATCTGGATGAGAACAGTAGTGTTCGGTTTATTTCACAAATTTAACCATAATATGGTTATACATTATACTAAAAACCACAATGCTACTTGTAAATCTCAATTTTCATGAGCATAGAATTATATCTGTTACATAATATTTGCTTGTCAAAAGTCCTGTGGTTGCAAGAAAAGTGCTGAATGTATGTTTCAAATACACCCAGATTATGAATTTCACAGTTAAGTTTAAAAAATAATTAATACTGATATGACATTAAATCATGAATGTTTTTTGAGGTTGTCTGTTTCAGCATTCTATATTATGTTCTATGGACAAACCTCCTTTTGTGCACTGTTCTTCTGTTCTTTGAGTCCTGCCAGTTCAATCTTCAGCTCGTTCATGTTGTCCTGCATCTCTGCATTGTGCCTCATCTTCTGCTGCAGGTCGCTGCGCGTCTCCTCGTTATCGTACTCTAGTTGGCGAACCTGATCCACTTTACTGTTGTACTGAAATAATACAAATTACAGTCAATATCACATATCAAACTTTGTCGAATCTGGTTCACTTTTCTGTTACTCTGAAATAACAGAAAACTACTGTCATTATAACATACCAAACTCTCTACAAGGGCAACAAGGGTAGCACTCGTTAGCTTTGCAATACTTCATTTACTTGGACAACCACCCGCTTTATTCTGGGTCAAAACTGTCTAAGATTTAAGTCTTAAAATTAAGATCAATTTGATTTATATACACCAGATGCCAAAAGGCCACTGACCTCATCATTGGAGTGAAGGTGCGAGTCTTGGTAAGCCATCAGCTCTGCCTGGATCCGCCGCACTTTCTCCTCCTGCTGAGACGCCTCCACCGTCTTCTCGTTCATCATCTCCTTCAGGCTCCCGATGGTTTGCTCACAGCGCGTCACCTTATCCAGGGCACCTGACAGCTCGTCTTGGGAGTTATTGAGTTCCTGTGTGAGCTGTTCGATCACTTCCTCGCAGTGGGCCAGCTCGCCATTCTTTTCGTCCAATTTCTGCTCAAGGTTTTCCAAGTCCATTTTTAGTTTTTCTGCCTCGTCGCCTTTTTCCATTTCCTAAAATTAATGATCATATCAAAATGATGAGTACTGTCATTATGAACAGGCGTAATACCACAAAGTACTCTACCACACCAGATGCAGCATCTAGAAGTAAATGAAGTATCTTACAAGCCAATTATCTTAGTAAAAAAAGCAGACCAAGGCAACAGTCATATGTAAATCAAAACCAAACCATTGACATTTTAATTGAACACATATTACCAGTTGTAATATTGAGTAAACCATACTGGTTTGACTGCAAGAGATGAACATCCACACACAACATACAATGAAAAAGGAACCTATATTTGATTTCCTTGATTTTTTCTTAAGTTACACATGAACAATAACTAACACCTCAGTGCCATGTTGTGCATCATGCACATCCTTTAAAACAATTAAAACTAAAACACTTGAATAATGTCAATGAGCACACGGGTATCAAACAACAGAGGTAATGAACTATGACTTTGTCCCTGTGGTGTCCCAGTGGTGCTCCTAGATTCTGCACATGGTGTGGTAGAGTACTTACCCTGTTCCTGCTCTCTGCCAGTTTCTCCTGCAGAGTCCTAATGGTGCCCTCCAAGTGCTGCACCTGGTTCATGCACTGCTGGTACTTCTGCTTGTAGTTGTTGAGGTTGGCCTCCAGTTTCTCCGTCTGCTGTTTGCCTTCCTCCACCTGGTCGTCTAGCACCACGATCTGCTGCCTGGCCTCGGACAGACTGGTGTCCTGCTGCTTCATAGTGGTCAGCTGTTTACGGATCTGAGGAGACAATACTTCAATTAACTTATAATGTACATGTGCTTTTGCGTGTGTGTGTCAGTGCATGTGCATGCAAGCATGGCCTCGTCTCGTCAACATTGATATTTTGAAGCAAAAACTTTTATTATAAAGTGTATTTCATGTGATGAAATTCTTTACAAAAGAAACAGATAAACAGTTACTGAGCGAAAGAGGCCAAGCCTCATACCAAAACCATTTAACAAATGCCAAAAAAGACTATATAACATCATTTAATTTGGACAGAATTATGATATTCTTGTACTCCGTAAAATCATGAACCCCTTGGCCTAGACATCAAGATTTCCCCACATCCCTCTCTGCACACCAACCTCTTCCTGAGATTCATCATAGGCTTTCTTCAGCTCCTCCAGTTCCTCAGTGAGACCCAGGATGGTGGTCTTACTCTGTGTGTTCAGACCCGCCATTTCTTCCAGCTCGGCGCGGGTCTGTTCTACCGTCTCCTGCAGGATGACCACGTCCTGCTTGTACCGGTTGACCTCCTCCTGGTGCAGAGAGCGCGCCATGTTGAAGTCGGACTTCTGCTGGTCAATGGACCGGATATGGTTCTTGACCTGTGGAGAGAAGGAAGGGGGTTACGTTTTCACAAATATGCAATTTATACAATTTAAATGAAAATGAGCAATAGAACTGTTTCAAATTATGAAACAATGAAGACATCTTCAAAAACTCAAAGCTAAATTTTAATCTCTTTCTCTCTCTGCCAGCGATACCTTACATCAAGTTACGCAAAACATTTAAAGCTATTTCAAATTCTAAAACAATGAAGTAAAATCTCCAAAAACACAAAGCTAAATTTTGATCTCTCTCTCTGCCAGCAATACCTTACATCATGTTACACAAAATATTTAAAACATTTTTAATAAGTTCATCTTCATGAGAGAAGAAAAAGTTCACCTCTTGTTCTGATAACTGTTGAAGGTTCAATAATTCTTGGATTTTCTTCTGATCTGCAGTGGTCTAAAATGAACATCATAATTATAATATAATGACATCATATGATATCAAAGACTGTGTCAATCATGTGTAAATATAACAGAGTGTACAGCACAGATTAACTAACTAGACTTAAATTACTGCTGTACGTGAGGGTAGTTGTCTCCTTGCTGATGTGTCCATCTACCCATGACACTTTTCATAGAATTAATGTTAAAACAGCTTTCAACTTGATGAGTAAATATTCAATCTTAATTTGTGGGAAAACATGATTGTAAGTAAAAACCATATACATCATTTTGACAGCTAGAAGACAGAAAATATATAAAGAATATCCCAATCAACACGTCTGTTCATTCATTTCATTTCAAAATGCTGAAATTGTACCAAGTGAATGGCAGACAAATTAACTTTTCACTTTCATATCAAAAACATTAAATCCCTTTTTGTACACAAATAAAATACAACATGCATGATGGTGTGTTGGTACAGGTGATTTAACCAGAAACAGAAATAGATAAAAAAAAAATGCAACTCAAGGCAATATAAAGTCAAAAGTAATGTAGTGAGAAGACAACCCAAGGTGACATGAAAGCAAAGAATCCACCTACAGCAAGCAGACTTTCCAGCAACCCTGATTAAAAAAGGTAAGGAAAAAACCGATATAATTATTAATCTCTTTTTTATGATTATATCAACAACCAAATTTTTTTTTGCTACTGACATGACAGCATATATTCACCTTTCATTGTAAGCCACCAATATTCTATTCTATAAAAACAAAGATTATTTTTCATTTCAATCCTCTGCCACCAGATAAACCATAACCAATCATGACAATTTTGGAAAGATCAGCAGTTGCTCAATTTGCTGTGGGCATACTAATTAACAAACCATTAGAATCATGCACCAGCAAATAAACAACTTTATAAGATACCCTAGGCCTACAACAGAAAGAGGTGGGGGGGGGGGGGGGGGGAAGACAAAAAAGGGTGGTGGTCCACACCTAATCAACACCAAAAAATAGGAACAGTGCTCGCATTAAGAGGGGTAATGACACAGTATTACCAAGGAAACATTTTTCAAAAAGAATTACCATTTATTTTATTTAAAAAATTAATTTATTACATCAGAAAAAAAGTGCAGCAAATGATGACAGAATAAATAAATAAATAAATAAATAAATAAATAAATAAATAAATAAATCTAAACATATTTTGTATTTTATCAAAAAGCTTTCAAAAACAAATTCTTTCTGAAATGTGGGGGCGTGAACACAAGGTGTACAATGAAGTACCAGGCAATGGGTCTTATTCAAACCATAGCATATCATACCATACCATTACATGTGAAGCATACCATGTGAAACATGCCATGTGAAGCATGCCATGTGAAGCATACCACAGGGTGCTACACAAGCTGTGAACACATTCAAAGCATGAATCCCAAAAAGAACACTAAAAAGTATCCTTACACTGAATTCAGATACATGATAGCAGTAAAAAGTATCTATTTACAAAAGTGCTGGCATTCCTTTATCGAAGACAGACCTGAAGAGACAAGAGACACTCTTATGGCTTACTCTCAACGCAACTATCGTTTTACACAGATCGATTTAACTCTGCGGGGACTCTCGCTGAATGCAATCAGGTTAACAGATTAACCAGCCTCTTTCTGGCACTGAGTAGAATACAGAAACCTGGTGATTATATGAGTTTTTTAGAAACATGAGGAGTAGAGACATGTTTATCTGATTGCATTTAGCGAGAGTTCTTGCGGAGTTGGATCGATCTATGTAGAACGATGATTTCATTGGAAATGAGCCCTTAGGACAACATGAAACCACTGTGACAATATCTAACATTTCAATGGTCGTTCAGATCTTATATAGCCAATCTCCTGTTAAGATAGCTTAACCATTATATTTTGCTACATCTGGAAGATGTTTAACAAAAGTGAGTTGAACTTACAATGCTGTCTTGTAACTTATGCGAGACTTTCATGTAAAAAAAATTACATAGTGATTTCCTAAAACTTTCTTGGCCAAGTCAGGTATAATCAATTCTCCAAAGTCTCATCTAAATTAGCTCACAATTGATACTGTCAGCAATCTTGTTCCCAATATTTACACAAAAATAAATAAATAAATAAATAAATAAATAAATAAATAAATAAATAAATAAATAAATAAATAAACATTGAATTTCATAAATATTCCTCAACATAAAAAAAGCATTTTGGTCACAAGAAGGAAAATCCAGCAAAGGGTCCAGCCACAGACACAAATCAAATTATATCATCTGTACCCGTCTTAATTCCAACGGTCTCTTTACCTCAACATATGTGAAATTTAAGATGTCATTGAATCTAAGCAGGCAGTAAAAAAACCTTGTGTGCCAATCTTTCACACCTTACAGAGCTGACATCTTTTTGTCTACGTTGACAGCCATTAAACTGAATTACATTCAGAAATTTCAAAACCCTAGCTGAAATTTACGAAGTTTTAGGAGTTACAGTAGAGTATTTTTTCAGTTTTGAACGTGGGCCTTTAAAAAAAATCTGGAAAATGCAAGTGCAAAAAGAGTGCAGCTCAATATGGGGGGAGGGGCAAAAATACAACACTCAAATAATCATATTTTTCTTTAAATCCTGATATTTTAATCTTTGTTTCTTAGCTTCTTCTTTCTTAGTGTCTTTCAAAACCTTTTAAATCCAGTTTTAGATTTTTCTGCTACTGCCATTGCATTAACAGCCACTAATGCAAAGCTACATTGACAGGTACATGACATCTGCATCATCTGACCATACTTGTCAGCCTGTAAAGATACTTTGTCCCCGTGAGAATACTTGGCATTTCTACAGCACGCCTTCTAAATGTTTCTGTCTTTCAGTGCTGAAAGCTGTTATAAAAGCTACACCTTGGGTCTGGGTTAAGTAGAAAAGAGAGAGAGACCATATTTACCTTCTGTTCATACTCTTCAATCTTGGCCTGAAGTTCCTTGGTTTCCCCTTGAAGCTGTTTCACTTTGGCATTAAGCCTTTGTACTTCGTCCTCCCTAATATTGAGCTATAGACAGGGGGGTTAGGGAAAGAGTGAAGAAAGGAGGGTGGGAAGGGAAGAGGACCAGAGGCCGAGGCAAAAGCACGGATGAGTGGACAAGATATGAGAGATAGGAAGTAAAGATGATGAAAAGAAAGAGGAAAATTAAGCAAAAGAAAGAAAAAAATCAGTATTAATGTTATTATAAATTAAATAAAGGTTGTATAAATTAAAAAGAAACATAGCTAAAAATTGCATACTGAGAACTTAGAAGTCTTACAAGGTTTATTCAAATTGGCCTGATTTATGTGTTCCCAACTGCTGTTTTTAAAGATTTCCTACAACTTGGTTAAGTAACATGTGTCTTTGTCTGAACATTTTTTTCAACAGAACATCACAACATAATTTCCATGATGGAGAGAGCAATAAAAATATTGAAGAAATTTAATAAAATTACCACTAAAGTGGTTATGTAAGAATAACTGTCTCCATCATGGACTGTGAGTGTATGCATATGCATGTATGTTAACTTACCTCAGTGTGGTTTTGTGGGTGTGTGCATTCACATTAACCTACCTCCTCTACACACCCAGCTTAGTTTTGCTGTGTGTGTGTGTGTGTGTGTGTGTGTGTGTGTGTGTGTGTGTGTGTGCGTGTTAACCTACCTCCTCCACGCAGCCAGTGTAGTTCTGCTGTGCCGTGTCCAGATCTGTCTGCAGCTTTAGGATGGTCTGGTCTCTACTGGCCACCTGCAATATGGAGGGAGGGATGGAGGGGTATTACTTTGACTTCAGATTTCTTAAATAACAGTTCAAAACTGTGGATGCTGATGAATGTCTTGTGGAAAGTATCATATCTAAAGACACTGATATCAAATGACAACTAAAACACATGAAAAAACACTTAAATATTTTGGGATAAAACTTCTTGAGGGGATGCAATTCAACTACAATATAATTATAGCCAGTTAACCATTAAGATTTCTTGAATATGTACTATATTTCAGGAGAATTAACAACTCTTTTGAGGGCAAATTAGTCTGCAACAAATCAATGGAAAAAAGGGTCACTTTTTTCTGTTATTTCAAAGAATGGTTTCTAATCTGTATATGGAAAAGCATCATGCAGTAACTGTAACTGCAAAAAAAAATCAATAATTCAAAATCAATCAATCAATCAATCAATCAATCAATCAATCAAAAAGCATCCCGCCACACACCTCCTTCTGACACGTCCTGTGCTTTTCTTGGGAAATAGTCAGCTCCAGCTCCACCTGGTGGCACTGTTCCTCCAGCTTCATCACTTCCTGTGCGTTCCTGTGGGCTGTGTCTCCTAGCTGCTGGTTCTCGGCCTTCAGCTTCTCTAACTGGTCTTCGTGTTTCAGGACCTGGAACAACGAGATCAGACCTCATTTATGTTCAACTGTTTTTCACATTCTAGCAAGCCCTTTTTTTTTTAAACTTTGTAATATTGTTTTTGTATTTAAAAAAAAAAAAATCCACATTAAAGGACAACTGCATTCATGGTTTCTACTTTCTCATACTGACCTCATCATAACATGCTGTGTACTGACTCTGAGACTCTATCAAGTCCTCTTGAAGCTGCCTAATGGACTCATCTCGCTGGGAGATCTTAAACAGAAAGTGATTATTAAATGTCAAATAAATAAATATTAAAAAAATAATAATAATAAATAAATAAGAAGTATATTTGATTATTGGGTCAATACCCACTGGGGTCTTTGTGAAAGCTATTCTAATATTATCCAAAATGTTTCAGAAAACAAAGTTTTGACAAAAATTTAAAAATAACACAACGATTATCAACTTCCATTTGACAATAAAACAGTGTAAATTAAATAAAATCAATTAATACAAGAATTCTTGAGTTTTCCTACCTGCTCATCAGATTGTTTCTTCAGGTTGTCCAGATCTTTCTGAGACTGGGTCAATGCTTCCTGGAGTTTCTTCAAAGTCTCTGTGGCTTTCAGTATCTGAGAAATCGATAAAAAATTGTCAAAAAAGGACAATCACAGAATTAAAAAAGAATGAGAGTAGATTTTTAACATAACTTATCAATTATGAAAAGATGTAAAAAGGACCATTTTATATAAGAATATGTATCTTTTAATAACAGGAAACCCTCCTTCCCATATATTGAACTTAATATGAAAGGCAGTTTGTTTGAGCACCTCTATTCACATCGGTAAATCATTTAATAAATTCAAAATTAAAATCAAAGAAAGAAAAAGAAAGTCTTCAATTCTCACACACTCACTCTCTTGCTCTCACATGCACAAAAACACACACACACTCATTTCATGAAACCACTCTCTAGACAGAAAGAAAAAAAATTGAAGTTATCTGATTTCTGCTCACCTCTCTCTCCCTCTCCCCCAGCCTGGCCTTCACCTTGCCTAACTCTGTGCTCAGACTCTGGATATTCTCATCTCTCTGGTGGAGCTGAAATGTCATGGATATCTAATAATCATCTATATGAAACAGTAAGTATAGCCATAGAAAAAGTTTTTTTTTAAAAAATTAATTTACTAGTGAAGATTTTGCATCAAGAGACAAAATAGGTCAATTTCATATTCCAGAATACAGCCTTGGTCACACCTAAGTGAAATAAAAAGACCAACAAAAAAAAAAAGCTTTTCTTTTGACAAAACATAAAATTATTATTATTAGTAGTAATAAAAAGAAGAAGAAAAAGTAGAAGAAGAAGAAATAGAAGTAGAAGAAGAACAATAATGACAGCAGCTACAATAATAGTAAACAAGGCAGCANACGCAGATGATGGCTATATGTACAGACACATCTGTGTCTGTACATAAAAAATCATGTTCCAGTCTAAAATTCAATGAGCACAAGAAAACATGTATTTGAACTGAATGTCTTAAGTATATACTACAGAAGAATGAAAGCCAGACCTTGCTGAGGACATCTTTGTGCTGTCTCTGTAAGGAATCTTGGTCTTCCTTCAGCTGTCTGATCAAATCTTCCTTAGACTGGACCTGGTGTAATACATGTTAATACATATGTACATATATATAATTTTTTTATAAAGTTTTATAATTACTGTTATGACCATCATTATCCCCAGGTTTGGAAAAGTGCAACAACCACTAAATATGGATTTATAATCCACAAGATTAGTATATTTTTCTTTCTTTCTCTTAATTTGGCTATACTGTTAGAGAAATTACATGCTTTCTGTAAATTTCTGAAAAACTTACATGACATTTCTTGAACAAAAACATCAATCAGGGATTTGTGTCATAAATGACTAAGTCAGAATCAGTTCAATGTTTATCTTTTTAACATGAACTTTTGTCACCATAGCTGTACAACTTACGTTGTGTGAAAGGTTATCATGCTGTGCGTGCGCCGTTGTCAGCTCTCCGTTCAACTCGCGCACTTGGTCCTCAAGCCTCCGTATCTCCTCCTGGCAGGTGGTATTCTTCTTGTTCAGGTCGTCTATCTGGCGCTCCAATATGTGGATTCTTTCCTGCCTCATGTCGTTCTGTGGAAGGAACAGCGACAAATTAGGCTGAGACTGGTATTTAAGTTGATCCAAGAATTGTTGAATCTACAGCACTTGACAGAACAGGAGATGACTTTTCTTTCATTTCAAAAATGAGTTTATTAGAAATGTTTTAAATATTTCATCGAGAGAGAGAGAGAGAGAGAGAGAGAGAGACTTACATCAGATGTTAGTTTCCTCTGCTGCTGTTGTTGCTGCTCTATTGTCTTCTCTAGTTGGGAGATCTGCAATACAAAAGAACGTCAGTGAGCAGTTACAATTTGCAGAAACTTCTCAAAATATTTATCTACACATGGATTCATTTAAAAACAGACATCAACAAATGTATGGAATAACATAAAAAATATATATCACCTATTCTGTCTAAGCTCCCTTGTTATCATACTAAACCATGGAGCTGTATCCTGTCGCTTAACCTTGCTTTCAGAACTTTTACATAGTCTTTTTCATGTGTATCTTTCAAAATGACAAATACATATGATCAAATTGTTTGAATTTAGCAATTATCTAACTTCATGTTCGAAGAAAAAACTTTTTAACTGATACTCATTTAATGATGGTTAAAGAAAGGAGCCATTCACATGATTTAGATCCCAAGGGCCTTTGATGAAGGGTCAAAATCTCTCTTTATACAGAGCTTACATTTTTCTACCATAAATTGAAAGCTGTCTCCACACTGTTCTTTACATTATTCCTACCTGCTCTTCATACTTGCTATTGGTCTCCTGCATCTCCACATAGTCCATCTTCAGTCTCTGTATCGCCTCCTCACGCCTCTTCACCTGAATACACATAGAAAGCATAAAATTCTTGGATTCATATGTTAACAATCTATATCATTTTTTTTTTATTTCAAGAAAAAAAAAGGCAGACCATTAATAATATTCTAAGATAATGCCATTTAACTATTTTTTCTTTTTTTATGAAAAAGAAAACTCACCATTTTTAATCTCTTTATCCTTCTCTGTATATAATAACAACAACAACAACAATACACTATGCAAGGCGACTGTTTTTTCATTCTTTTACTTTAAAAAGAAAACACCAAAAACCTTAAACTTATCCCTATATAATGATATTCAGTAATTTTTCTATATATTTTTTCTTCAATATAACACAGGCACTCTTTCACCTCTGTATTCCACTAAGAGAAGACCTTGCTTACCTCAGCAGACAAGACATCCTTGTCACTTTGTGCATTGATGGCAAAGGCCTGCACCCTGGCCTCCAGGCGGCCATTTTCCTCCACTGCCTCCTTGTACTGCTTGCGGACAACATTCAGGTCATTCTCCAACTGCTGGACTGTGATGTCGCGCCTCGACAGCTAAAATATACACATTCAGAAAACTAATTAACAATATGACCGACAGCTAAAATATACCCATTTAGAAAACTAATTAAGAATATGACCATTTAATCCAAATCTATGTATATAAACATTTTATTCACAATTTATGCAAATCTTGATTTTAACCAAATCAATTCAATTAAATATTCTACATGTGGTCTTAAGCATATTTGCATTATGTCTAAATTATGTTACCAAGTACATTAGAAAAAAAAAAAAAACTTTAACAAATTGCATCTGTGTTGTCCATCTTTTTTTACCTATAATACATGTAAAAGGAATTTCATTTCAGTATCTTGACTACTCTCTCTATATATAATTTTTTATCTCTGAGATCATATATGACACTGGAGAAATATTTAGAGGAAAAGTTTTCAGCAGACATCACTCACATCATCCTTTAATCTCCTGCTCTCTTCTTGAGCATTCATCAGGTTCACCTCCATCTTGTGTATCGTCTGCTCCTTCCTGGCCACTTCATCCTGGACCCCCTGGAGCTGGGTCTGTAGACCCCGGATTGCCTCCTCCTTGCCTAGGATCTGGAGATACAAATCGTAATTGTTTATTATGTTATCATTTTTCCTCATCGTACATTAGCTTGCATAATTCAGCCATGACCCTTGAATACCAGTCATCTGACATCCCATGGAATACATGAGAGGTAAGCGACATTTGCCACCCATGAATAGGGACAGGGGGCTGATTTACCCAACAATTACTACAGGGTCCTGGCTGCTATTTCACCTAGCGGTCATTAAGTAACAACATCTACTCATGTCAGTCTTATGAAGGCTTTTGGCCAAGGAGGATGCAAGCTAATGGGGAGGAAATTTTTTTCCAGTTTGTATCAAATAGTTGTGATTTGTACTCAAATACCATTCAGAAGAAAGACTGTTTGAAAAGAATTAAAACAAAAATTTCGACTGGTCTGAATTTTTTTAGACCAGATTTGAACTTTTGACCAATGTACACAGTAACTGCATAAACGTCACATGCATTCAACACCTACTTTAATTAAAAAGCAACTATTTCAAGGATTTCCTGTTCTGCTTTTCTGAAACCCTTCCTGTTTACCTGTTCACTGCCTTGTTGGTGCTTGTCCTTAAGTGACAGTATATCAGCCTGTAGCTTGGTGATGAGGTCCTCCTTCTCGGCGACCTCTGACCTGTAGATAGTGTCCTGTTGACTGAGGGTTAGATCCTTCTCCTGAACCTCTGTCTCCAAGCGGTCAATCTGAAACGATTAAAAAGTTTTAAAAATGACCCACCAGATGGCAACTTGGGACACACCCTCCAGCCTTTGACTTGTAACGGCACAGTTGAAGTTTAAAGGAAAGCAAAAGCTACCAAACAAACATAATTGATACAAATATTGACATTTTTTTCATTTTTCTCTGTGAACTGTTTTTTTTTTCTTTTCCCACAATTTGACATTTGCTAAAAATGTGTTCAAACTGTTTTCAAACTCTCTGTTTCTTTCCCCCTTTTTTCTTTGTGAAGTCTTAGTTTTCAGAACCAATGTTGGAATACCAATTATGATTTCTTTCACCATACTTGTCTAAGTTGTTCCTGATACTTCTGCTCCAAGCTCTGCAGTTCTTTCTCAATTACTGTCTTCCTTTCCTGGCTCTCTGAGCCCCGTCTCCCAGTTTCCTTTAGCTCCTCTCTCAGTTGCTTTATGACCTCTCCCCTGTGGTGAGCCGTGGCCAGCGCCTCGCTGTGTTTGTCTTCCAGCGTTCTCGTCTCAGCTTTCAGTTTCATCACAGCATCGTGTCTCTCAGCAACCTGTAGGGGTGGCATTGGAATGAATATATATAGCTGGACAGCAAACTAAGAAACACAAGATAGTGACTTTAATGGACATGAAGATCATATAAATATGACATTTATCTACCAACACACACTATACTTTATAATAATTTTACCAAAATATATTATAATTATTTTTCAGTGAACATATGGGTCACAATTCTCTTATTATCTCAATGAAATATTGCAATATTGATCTTTTCCTGCCTGTCATTATGTCAATTTTCATTTTCGAGATAATAGTTAACACAACCACTGTCCTTTTGCCCAAATTCAACCTATGCTTTAGAGTGCAACAATGATACCCAACTAAACAATGCTTACCTCAGTAATCAAAACAAATATCTTACCCCACTCATCTCGGCAGTCATATCTAACACAAACACAGTTCACCTCAGCAGCCACATCTAACACAATCACAGTTCACCTCAGCAGTCACATCTAACTCAATCACAACTCACCTCAGCAGTCACATCTAACACAATCTTTGCTCACCTCAGCAGTCCCATCTAACACAATCACAGTTCACCTCTGCAGTCACATCTAACTCAATCACAACTCACCTCAGCAGTCACATCTAACACAATCACAACTTACCTCAGCAGTCACAACAAACACAATCACAGTTCACCTTTGCAGTCACATCTAACACAATCACAGTTCACCTCTGCAGTCCCACCTAACACAATATTACAGTTCACCTCAGCAATCACATCTAACACAATCATAGCTCACCTCAGCAATCACATCTAACACAATCAGCACAATGTCCCACCCAATGACCATTCTTACCTCAGCGGTCAAAGCGTCCCTGGTGTCCTTAGAGGAAGCCTGCAATTTGTCCAAGCTTTCTTGTAACTTGTCAATCTGGACAAAGCAGAGATTAGAACCACCAATTAGTAACTTCTCATGCAGTTAGTAGAGCAAGCTTAGCCTAGCTCAGCCCATGGTTAATAGTCCCTAATAGTTATCTGATAATAACATGTGCTCCTCCCTTTTACCATGATAACATGAACTTTTTGCTTTTTGTGTCCCAAGAGCTTTGTGTGCATTTCATAAGAACTGCCACATTCATTATTAATGAAACTGTTTAGAAGTAGTTTAATCTTGTTGACAAACATATATTACAAGTGTAGATTTTAAGAATTTCCGACAGAATGTTGAGTAATCTCATGTAAACTTCTGCACAGATAAAAAAATTGTTTGACAGTACAGAAATAATTTTCTTCAAAAGTTAAATGGGTTTCATTTTTGACAAATTTGTGAAATGACTGAAAATACTTGAAAGAGCAGACTAATGCTCAAAAAAGTAAATATCTCAAAATGTACATCATCTTATAATATAAAAGCAATGTGGGTGACCATGGTTAAACTGTCATTATGCTTGAATAGCAGACAACAACACTGCTAATCATCTGGAATTTAGTCAATTCACGTCCACCCACTATCACAGCAGGAAATGATTCAATAACATGGACAAGTATTACGTTTACAGGGATGAGACTGCCATTTAGTGACATTTTTAGTTCCTAGAAGTCGGAAATGCACCTATTGTCATCCCTGCTTTTACAGAAAATAGATTTTTTTTTTTGCATTATGCAAATAGTAATGTTTGCCTCAGAGAGAAAAAAAAAAAACCTTACGAAATCACAGATCAATGCAAGTTCTCCCATGACAATAACAAAATACTTGTTTAAAGCCTTAAGTCATATATATATATATATATATATATATATATATATATATATATATATATATATATATATATATATATATATATATATATATATATATATATATAGGATTCCCTCTATGATTCCCTGACAACCAAATAAAAGCAAATGTTTTAGGTAATATTAAATGTCACTTGAAACAATCTCTTGAGGGCCAATAATGAAAAGAAGCAATTTCCCCCCAGCTGTGCTCAGACATGCCATTTTACATGAGCCGGATGCTGGCTGTATTCCTGGTGGTATAAGCTATGCTGTCGTCATTATCACATATAATGAGAAACCGGGCGAAAGGGACATCATCATGACATATGACAGATCTTTTACAGTCAACCATGTTGGTACTTTTTGAACTGCTCACCCCNAAAATAAATAAATAAATAAATATATAAAATTAAAAATAAAAAAGGGGGGGGGGGGGGAGCCAAAGACATAGGTAGGGAAAATGCCACTGATAAACCCAATTCAAATTTTTCCTTGAATATGTGAACTTCTGTATTTTTCAAATCATTTTTCACAACCGTTAAATACTTTTGAAACAACAGATCACCATTACATATTTAACAACTCTTTAGAACAAATTAACTTTCTGGTCACCAGAACAGACTGCTAACTAACCAACCTGTAGCATGGTCAAGCTTCGTTTGCACCTCAGAGCCAGAACATCTATTTCCATCTGACCCACTGTGTTCTTGAGTAAAAGCAAAAACTTTTTATGATCTTTTTTTAAAAAATTACATTTGAAGTGATTACTAGAACACCACGAGTGATAGGGATTTTGGTGATTTCAAGCTATCAGGGATATCATTCTTTATGGCATGCAGTTTATTTTAAGACAGGTTTTGTATAAACCATGCAAAGTGAGGCAAACTTTCGCATTTTTACCATGATTCTTTTCTTCAAGAAGCATAAAATGCAAAACTGTGCAGTAGATGTTATGAAAGCTTTCAATTTCCCATGATACCTTAGTAATCCCACTGAAATAAGATCACAATTATTCATCTGAGTCAGTGGCAGTGCAAGGTAAGGGTATATAACATCAGTTAGTTAGAGCTGTTGGATATATATTATTAGCTGTACAAGGTTTCACTGACACCACAATGTTCGTACTAAAGACTCTATGACGTTTTTCTTGACATTTTCCCATTCATGTTGTGTGCTTATATGTATTGAGTGTCTGATGCACTATTATCAAATGTAGTCGATTCCATAGTAATTCAAGGTGATTTTTTTACTTTCTACCATATCTTTTCTTTTCTCTTTAACCTATCATTATACCAAATCAACCAATCAAGTATAGTTTAATAATATTTCACCTAGTAAATTAAATACCCAATTGGCATGTGTTAACACACACACACAATTGGAGTTACATATACCTTTTATATAAGGTGCAAAAGTTCATTGATATTATGTTAAATTGAATATGAAGTTTTCTTTAATTTACAAGGGGCAACGGCTTAATGAATAAATGAAAAAAAAAAAAAAATATGACCCTAAACTAAAAACTCCAATCAAAAGATTTTCAATTTCAAATTATCATAATAATTATTGTAAGCGGTCTACACTTCAAACTTTGCATTCAGATTCTTACTTCTGGTTGTGGACCTATGGTTTTATTTATTAGGTCTACTACCTAAAAGACCTTGTATTTATTATGTGTCAAGTATATCAAAGTTTGGTATAAAAGCCATTAGCTTGCCATCAGTTAACTTTGCAATCATTTAAAGCAATAGCATCTCAACTCCCAGTCTCAAAAAAAAAAAAAAAAAAAAAAAAAAAAATCAAGCAAGTTATTGCTGCATTGCATCCATATTTGAAGTAATAAATGTTTTATTGCCATTCCTGTCAATTTTCCTTGCTCGATAGCCTGACAACTACTCAACATCATCACTGCAGCAATAACAACAGCATTATGAAGCCAATGCACCAAATACAATACAATAAAAGTTAAAACTACAACCCACTGTAAGCCGACTTATAACAGCAGCATTAACAGCATCAACATCATCACTTTCACTAAGACATTGCATCCAATACAACACAATACAAAAACCACATTACCACTGTACTATTATTGTTAATGTTACCTGACTGACTGCCTCAGCATGCCTGGTTTGCAGACTGTGCATCTCACCTTCCATGCGCGCCATCTGAGCCTGCCGCGTGTTAACCTAGATACATACAAAGACAGAGACATTGGGGTCTGCATGCACGCTACGGGTTACCTTTCTGGTCAACATGACCCTGTTGTCACCACAGTACCCCTTCATCTTTAAGTGAGGGGGGGGGGGGGTAAATTAGGGCATTAAATTTATATACAAGTTGCTGTGCTATAAAATGTGTTGGAAATTTGGAAGGGAAAAAAAATCAACGAACAGCATTTCTTGAGCTTGAAAATGTGTGAATAACAAATATTCCAATCTTGTTTTTTTTTTCTCACTGCCTTTTCACAAGAACTCAATTTTATTTCATTTATAAAAGTACATCTTGGCGACCTGGATCATGTTCCCCGAGAGAGAGAAATAGATAATAGAAATCTTCCACCAGAGAACAACAGCCTGATAACGGCATTCACTAACCCGAAGTATAAGTTGCCACATGCTCATCATGCTAACATGCAAATGTCAGTGCTCACATTATCAAACAAAACTACCACAATTAGTTAGTTGGATAATAGAAGTGAAAACAGGGGTGCAAGGGAGGGGGGGGCATTGTCCAGATTGGCAGTTACATACAAACTGAAATCACTGACAACAGGTTGATCAGTCACAAATATCAAAGTTCTTTCAAATATAGTTTTCTTTACAACCCTGATTACACTCTTTTTATTTTAACGTCTTCCAAATTTAGAAAAAAAAAAAAAATTCAAATATCAGTGCAACAAACTGGCTTTCACTTTCTAAATTTCCAAAATGTTATACTTTAAAAATGTCCACATGAATAAAAACAAACAAATAAAACAAAAATGTCGACATAAATGAGACTGCTGGTATGAAATCATTTTAATTGTGATTTTAGAAAAAAACATCATCCTGTCAGTGTCTCCCAGTATCTTCCAGGGAAATATAAACATATAACATTAAAAACAAATATGTGCAACAAAAATAAGTAAACATTATTTAAATGAAGGCAAATCACCTTGAAATAAAGCAAAATAGGTGCTTGGTGCATGATATAATATAAAAAACAGAGAAAAATTGTTTACTGAAGTGTAACTAAACATAAGTATGTTTTATAACAAAAATAAATCCTTTTTCTGTGAAAAAAGCAAAAGCAATAATTATTTTAGTTATCCAAAGCCATTTTTGAACATACAACAATATAAAACTAATTTATCAAACCACCAATTATACAAGATATAGACCACACAAATTTACCAGTCAATATATTTCTATCACGTGCACAACAACATTTGAAACAATCTTTCCACTTTTTATACCACAGTGATAAACAATATCAATTGTTGGTTCATTTTTCATTTTTTTTGTACCAACCTCAGTGCGACTTTCGTCTAAATATCTCTGCGTCGTGTCCAGCTCTTGTTCAAGATGGCGGATACGCATTTCACTGTGCTGGATCTAAAATATTCAGAAAGTCAGGTTTATTTAGTGGATGTGTAGAGACCGCTCAACAATGTATTTGGTTTGTTTACCTCTCTACTGATTACACTCTATTTTAATAAAGCATATAAACAGCATATAAAGGAAATCTGAAAAATCAATGGCATAAGATGTCATTCTTTTATCCAAAACATAAAAAGCACAGTAAGTTCCTTCTAATGATATAATTCTAAAAGAAAGAACGTAGCATCTGTCCATATACAACATGCCATGATTTATTTTACAATGAAAAGATCAGTGAACAAAAATACATATATATATATTTTTTTAACGTTATAAAAACAATATAATGCAAGTGACATAAGTGCAACACAGTGAAAAGTGGATCAAATCAACTGTGTATGTCATTATTACAAAATAACTGATTATAGAATTAGTGTATGTTATTAAACAAGCAATGGTGAATTGCATCTATTCTGTAATCAGAATACCAGCACCCTGTCATGTTGGGTGACACTAGTATGAAGAGTACAAGCTTTTTCCATCACCATTAAATAAAGTTTAAACAGGCAGGCTATACAGAGCAGGATCTCCCCCCCCCCCCCCCAGAAAAAGAAAAAATGTCGAGCATAGAAAGACAACCTTAAATTAATTGAACAGACAGGAAAGCTAGGACAAATGTGTGTGACCAAGGCTATGTCAAAGCAGTTATCAGAGCAATGATTTAGGGCTCATTCCCAATAGAACTATCATTCTATGTTGATCGATCCAACTTCACAGGAACTCTCGCTGAATGCAGTCAGATAAACAGATTGACATGCCTTCTTTCGTTTCCAACATTCTCAAATAGTCCCCAGCTTTTCTGCATTTTACTCAACACCAGAAGGTTTTTTAATCTATCTGATTTCATTCACCAAGAGTTCCCGCAGAGTTGGATCAATCTAGGAAGAACGATAGCTTCATTGGGAATGAGCCTTGAGATATCACTAGAAAGTTGGCCAGTGTATTTCAGGTTGCTGAGGTTACAAGTGTACAGCGGGCAAAGAGGCAGGTGAACAGAGCATGAAGGAGGACATGATGTGCACACGTGTACTTCCTATTATTAAGTGCTGTAGATGATACTATCTTAAGCCAGTCGCAGTATTGGAAGTCTTTAAAAAAAGATTATTTGTAGATTGGAAAAAGAAGTAAATCATTTCTTAAGAAGAGACTAATTTCTTTACCAATGAGACATGGCACTTTCAGCTGACTCATTGACATATTTTGTCTCCTAAGAATCAACCTTTTATTACCATCATTATAGAAGAGACATATTTCACCGCATTGGTAGATTGTTAGAATACTGGAAAAATATCCTTTGAAAATATTTTAACAGAAATAAGCTAAGAATGAACAAATTTTTATATGATAATGGAAAGCTGTAAGTTGACAAGCTATACAAGTAAAATAAGGGGGAAAAAAGATAAAAGATAGGCAACGGCATGCACTGACACTGAATAAACTAAAATTCTATACTTTATTTGTAATTAGAGATCTGCCTTTTTCATTTACCTGAGTTGTTAAAGTTAATGATTCTGCTAACGACTACAACAACAAAAATAAATAATAAAATAAACAAACAGATAAAAACTGATGACAGTAAATAAGTTCTCTGAAGGCAAATAATGTCCTGAGTATGGTTAGTAGCATATTACTAAGTGCTAGAATGCAACATCACACAATTCTTGAGCCTGTTCATCTTCTACACCTGATTAAGTGCAGAACAATGAGAGATTGTATTTCCAAGTTATACATCGCTTTCTAACAGAGAAATAATGTGAACTGAAAAATAACTCCTGGCATCATGTTAACAACAGAAGTATAATTAGACATGCTGCATGCTGCAATCACATTTTTTCAAAAAGAAAAGAAAAAGTGGAGCAGAAAAAGATCATGGCCTCTTCTCAACAGGATGTGGAGGCACACTTCTTGTGAAACATGTTACCTCGAAACGTGACCACCTCAGAGAAATATCATGAAAGGCTTACTTTGCTTGAACTGATGGACAATTAGGTATTCTATCTATGTGGGTGGGGTTAACCACTGAACTGTGCCCAATATCAGATTAAATGGCAAACGTGCACCCACATTCTAAGACTAATCATCATCATGACCATCATGCAAGCAACTATTCAGACTAGGAACAAACAGAAATCTAAACATCGGTCCAAATTCGTGTATTGAGGTTAATTTTCCCTGAGATAGCTTATGATGAAGCTCTGACCCTGTGGAGCATGATTACTTTAGTAAAATAAAATGGAGATCTCTGTAAAAATTTCATTTAAAAAAGAATTGAACCCTCTGATAAACTGAATGATATTTCTGTTGAGCAATCAAATTGTCTTTCAAGATATTTGACATGCCATAGAAAATTGGCAAGAATAACTCAGATTCATATTAACGATATAAATGAGAAATTAAAAATAATGTCTAGAAATAGCCTCTTTAATCGAGAATAAGTAAATCAAAGAAATAATAAGAATAAAAAGTTGATGACAGCTGCAAAACAACATGTTGGTTAGTGGGTTGAGAGGGTTAAGCAGGTAACTACATCAACAAATCACAATGGCAGGAGGGTTGGTTAGTGCTGGTTGCCAAGGTTACCACTCTCACCTCCTCCAGTTTGTCTTTGTACTGTGACTCCAAGGAGTGAATTTTCCTTTCCTGGGAGTCCAGCTGAAATGGATCATGAAGCAATTGCTAGACTAAATATATTGTACCCTCAACAGAATACTAATACATACCATTTTAAGGTAAATTTTATATTCAAAATGAGCACTAAAAGTTGGAGCTAAAATAAAAATAAATAAATCTAAAAAAAATACAAAAATCATTCAAACAAACAATTGTAAGTATCCTTAATGGAAGACTGAGCAATCACACAAGCAGGCACAAACATACAGATGCACTCAAAGTAACTTCCATCCTATATCCAAGCATCACCTTAACATACCTAACCTAACTAGATCTCACATCTACACTCACCATGCCATAGGCGACTGAAAATTGGTAACAGAGCCAAAACAATTTTTATATTTCATTCCGATTTTCATTACCTTGGAGATGGCATCGTCCCTGGCATCCTGTAAGTTAAGCACCTCGTTCCTCAACTTCTGTATGGTGTCGTCTCGGCGCGCCAGCTCCGACTTCAGCACCTCGTGATTATCCTGTCCTGACCGACCGCTTTCTCGCAGCTTGGTCTGAAGCGCACCAATCTGTGGCATAGAAAAAGATCTGAATGAGGTTAAACTGATTACACACATTTTGAGCAGTTTTACGTGAAAATATGAACTTGAACAATCTGTGGGAGAAATAAGGAAAAAGACCTGAAAGATAACTGATAACTTTTTGAGCAGTTTCAAGTTGAAGTATCAATTATCATTTTAAAGAGACAAAAAAAAAACAAAAAAAAAAAAAAACAAATAGCCTTTACAGTATTTAAAAATACTAGTACTTCTTTATTGATCAAGTGACTAATTATATGCATTGTTTGGACTTCAATGGACAAATCAAGGAAACATTTTTTCATTTGGTGAGAAATAGGTATCCAATTGCTTAAAGATATTTTTGAAAATAAGTACAGGGTATTTAAAAACAAAACAAAAAGATATATGACAAATAGTTTCATAAATATGTTTTCTTTAGTGAACATCATCTATTCCAACTTTAATCCAGTTCTCCCCTCTTCCTTTCTTCACCTCGTCATACGCCCTCCTCTTTTGCTCCTGCGAGTCCCTGAGCTCCGTCTCCAATGCACGGATCCTACGCTCATAATGGGAAACCTGTAGGTCACAAATTATTGATGAATTATTATTAAGTCTGGTTGTAAGCCTGGATATCAGAAATACCTAATTAGTTCATTATGGCCCATAATAAAACCTAGCCAGTTTACCAACATGATTTCCTAACAATGACTATGTATATAAGAACAACGAAAAAGAAACACAAATGCACACAACTCACACTCAACTTACACTCAATCAATTTAATGACCTCAAGTTTATCTAGTTCTCATTTCATCCATATAGTGTTTATGTCCAAAATTAACAATGCTATGAAAATTACGGGAGTCATTTTGCCAACCATTTTTTTTCCTGAATAAGTTATAAAACTTTGCATGTTTTTTATCAAGTTAAGAGCATGCTCTAAATATACCACTGTAACAGCTAGATCAGCTGCCTTCTGCTGCAAGGCTCACTAATATTTGTCACTCAATTTAAACACACTCCTGTAAACATGTTCACAATATATTAATCCTACTTAAGATGCTTTAAGTCCACTAATGCCGCTGACAAGGACAGAGTGTTTGCATAAAAGCACGGTGTTAGGTAATCCCATAACGTTTCCTGTTAATTTTAAATTTCCACCTCAGGAAAGGATGCTATATTTTCCCTTTGTTGGTTTGTTTGTTAATAGCTTATGTGCAAAAAGTTATGGACATACAATAAGAAAAATTCAGGATAGGTCAGATTTTGACAGACTTAAAACTGATTACATTTTGGTGGTCATCTTTTAATCAACTAAATTAAAAAAAAATAATTATAATGAGAACTGATTTGTCTTGGCAGAGGTCTGTGCTCTGTTAGTGCCTTTGTTATTTTAATTTTTTTCTTTCCGAATACAACCCCTGTGTACTGTTCAACATGGTATGGAATGTATATAATAAATGACTTAGAAGATATCATAGTTATAGGCTTCAGAAGTCAACCCTCCCTCGTTATACTGAAAACAGACATCAACCTATATCAATTAATAGAAGCAAAACATCCATTGCTATCACATTTTCCCCAATTCTAAATATCAGGGATGTGATTTGTGTGTGTGTGTGTGTGTGTGTGTGTGTGTGTGTGTGTTTGTGCACGTGCGTGTGTGTGAGAGGGGAGGAGGGAAGAGAAAAAAATGAAAACTGACAATGTTGCAATTATCCCAGAAAAAAAAAAAAAAAATCAGAAATCAGGAAAAACTGAAAAATCACATCCCTGATATATTGTCACCAAAGGACCTTCCTGTACTTCATTTGAAAGAAGACCTGACTGTCACATGAGATCTTATACAATCTGATCCACACCACATGCCAAGAAAATTAACAAATGCTATTTTTATCAGTACGTGCGTCAGAGACGTATCACCTTCAAGTGCGGATAGAGCGCATATTGCTACGATTCCAGGAAATATTAGTTTTCATTTAAGGTAGTGCCACTTGGACAGTGAGAGCAATATATCAAATTTCCTTTACAATTCGTGTTTATACACTCCTGAGTTTACACTTGCATCATTTTTTTTTTTCACTTCAGCAAATTGGATTTCTGAGATAAAACAGTCTAAAAATGATACAAGTTATAGAACATGGTAATAACTCTTATATTTCAAATACCTAGTTACTAACTTTCTTTTTTTTTTCTTATAACCTTGGTCAAGGGGACCATTTTTGCTTTTGTTGGTTTGTCAGTTAACAGCTGCACTCAAAAAGTTATAAAGGGATTTTGATAAAATTTTCAGAATAGGTTAAAAATGAGCTTGCTTATAATCTATAAGATTTTGGTGGTTTATCGAATAATCAATAATAATGAGAAATGAACTGCCTTAGCAGAGGTCTTCATTATCTAATTGCTTTTCCAATACAAAATGTATCCTGTTACATTTATCAGAAAAAGAAAATAAAAGTTTGGTGAATAATTACATTACATTTTGTGTCAGTGGTGACTTGGTCAATGTTTCCATACTTACATCATCATCACTTCGCTTCCTGTCATCATTTGCACGTCCCAGCTCTGTTCTCAACTGACGGATCAGATCCTCACACCTAGAAACCTGCAAAGACAACAGACAAATACCAGTTAAGAGAGGTATTTTCAAACCTGAAAAAAAAAAAAAAATTATAAATAATAATAATAATAAGAAGAAGAAGAAAAAGTCTCAAAAGTCCTGAACAAAGAAATCATAACAGAAGAGTTTCATTTATACATCAACCACCACAAGTAGGCAAAACAGAAAAAAAATATTTGGTGATATTGCATGGGCCTTAGGGTCTACAACTACCTGAAATGTTGTTGGAAATTCCCATAACCTTGAGAGGCTAGGAAATAAAAAAAATAATTCCTCAAGACAGAAATATTACATATTACTAGATCTCCCCCCCCCCCCAAAAAAAAGAGAAAATCATACATGTTAGTGACAACAATGCAACATATGGACATAAAACAGAACTCCCCAATCAGGGCACTTCTCAAGCTTACAGATTTCTTGGTGGTCTTCACATTTTTGTCATATTCCCCCTTCTCCAGTCGGAGGAAATACGAAGCCATCCCCAGTCCTGGGGAGCAGATGTCCCTCTCGTCCAGCACTGTGACCAGACTCTCATCGTCGGTAAAAGTGACATCGTGGTCTGCCTCCTCAAAGCCAGACTCGTCCGTGCTGGCGGTGCAGTTCAACAGGTGATCAGAGCCAGACGTGGACGTGGACGTGGACGAGATTTTTCTTGCTGGTATTTCCACCTCAGTCATGATAACAGTTACTGGACAGTATTACTGCCTTTCAAAAAATCTGAGTCTCTCTTATCCCAAAATTTTTTAAAAATTGGTAAAATAAACAAATCCAAGCACTGTCTCCGGTTGACAAAGCTTAAGAGTGTAAATCTATTCCAGCTGGGGAAAAAAATCTTGGCAAACAAGGTGCCCTTGAAAAGTAACTAACAAGTCTTGAGAGAAAACCAAAAGCAGAATCTCGCAGAACAGTTTCCTCCTCAAACCATTAGTCCGAACCTCAACTCCTGGCCAAGAATTTCCAAAGGGATACTGCACTGGAACTCAAGAGCACAGATGTCGTGGTGGAAGTTCTCTCGGGATCTTGCTCTCTTAAAGAGTCCACGCCGAAAATCTCATGTCAGGAGACGCTACCCTCGGCGTCTTGTGCAAACAAGCACTAACAACTCGAAGGAGGATTGTTTTCCAAGTCAAACACCCCCACTGAGGTACCAAACAGGCACTTGCGACTCTTACCCCCTTCTCAACACAAAAGCCAAGATCCACTAAAAACTCTCTTATTATGCTTGACCAATAGATCAAGCCTAATCAGCCATGCTTAAAAGTGTTTGCAACCTACATATTTGTGTTTGTAGTTAAATGTCCACCAACGCTGCCTAATTCAACGAGTTGGTTTATTTGTTGAATCCCTCCCCTGCGTAAACACTGTGGATAATGGAGCATGTTGATGAACTATTGTATCATTCAAAAGCCACAATTATGGGCAATTCACATCTGGTGTTTATTAAGCTAACTTCAATGTTGGTTTTTTGAGACCTGCGTACGGGTAAGATGTTGTTCCAACAGAGCTTGTGTACACAGGGGGCTCGCAACAGTAGCATTTGCCTGGTTACGTGGATTGAAGAAATAATAATAATAATATTAAAACTTGGGTTTCAGGTGACGGCACACCTGGATCATGGGTGTTTACACTCATTTTTGCATAATCTGTACTTAAGCCACTTATACTATCCAAACAAACTTTCCTTGTAATGTGTGAAAAGAAACAAAAAAATAATAATAGAACACTTTGTATTTTAATGCATAGTTAAAAGTACTCTACTGATCCTTTTCATTGCATATTGACATATTTGAAGGACTTTTTTCTCTTATTATTTGCTGAAATCACTTGTAATGCAAGAAATGTTAAATATTATCAATTTTGTAATCTGCAATCACAGTAACATTACACAATTTTCAACAACATTAAAATCATAAAAATTAGCCATCTGAGACACTGACATAGGCCTATCTTGGATTATGCCCCTAGTGAGCATATGAGAAAGCATGAGAGAGCATGAGAATACACAGATTCTTTATTAAAAATAGGAACAGAGATGAGCAATTGTGAAATAAGGTGAAAACCAATATAAAAAAAAAAATAAAATAACAGAGCTTGTGAAAAGTTATTTAATATTGTATTCTTAAAAGAAATAATTCAAAGAAAATGAGTGTATGTTTTACGTTTTGGTTGCATAGCATATAAAAATAAAACTATGCATAAATGATATTCAGCTTCAGAAACTTTTCATCATCGAAATGCTATGATAAGAACTGCAGAAACACAGCTTACTCAGCTTTTCACCAAATACAAAAAACAAGTAACTTACTTCTTTAGATGTTTCCCGCTGTTTTTCCTGCAGCATCTGTATAGTATGGACTTGGTTGTCACTTTCCGCATCTTTCAGCGTCAGTTCGTTGTTGAGATCACGTAGTTGTGCAGTGACATTGTTCATTTTCCTGTCTCTACTCTGAAGCTAGTAAGAAAAAAAAATCTTATAAATGTCAAGTCTGGAAAGAAGTTTATATCAGCTATTTATAAAGCAGTTTTTGCCCACATGCAAAAAATTGTCTTCACTTTTCAAGGGATCAACAACAAGTAACAATATTCATTTTGATGGTATTACTTACTTCATTAATAAGATTCAGTCCAGCAAAAAAAAAAAAAAAATTCTTTGGTCTGTCTAATTTTTCATAACTGCCTGTCTTTTAAAAGGCTTTTAGCAAGTCTGAGTGTACACCTCACAGTCATCTTCTTTATGTGTAGACATGTTGAGCTATTAAGTTTTCTGATAAAACCTGCCATCTCCCCTCCTTTCCCTGCTCTCTCTCCTCTCTTTCTCTCCATCCATCCACCTTCTCCCCCCCCTGCCCCCCACTCTCTCTCTCTCTCTCTCTCTCTCTCTCTCTCTCTCTCTCTCTCTCTCCTTCTCTCTCTCTCTCACCTCTAAATGCAGCTCGTCCACCCTCTGCTGTGCCACCCTGAGATCTGACTTGAGTTTCATAATACTGATGTCCTTGTCTGTGAGCTGGCTGACCGCCGTCTGCTCTCTGTCCTGGACAGTGGACAGGGAGGACCGGATGGACCCCAGGACAGTGTCCTTTTGAGTGACCTGAAGGGAAAGATACACTGGACATTACACTGATAGAAAAGCTGATTACAATAGGAGAAAAGAACACAGAATCCCTTTATAATCATTGTGATTTAACAAAAGCTTAATAAAAATCTCTTACTAATGAGTTCTCAAGTGAATAGAGACATAAGATCTTCATTTTTCTATGAGAGTTCATCTAAAAAGTTACTGAACTTAGTCTTTGCAAGTCAATAACAACAGTGACCACTGGTCAAAATAAACACCATTACAACTGGCCAATATAGCAATGGTGACCACTGGTCAATGTAACAACAGTTACAACTGGTAAATATAACAACAGTGACCACTGGTCAATATAACAACGGTGACCACTGGCCAATATAACAACAGTGACCACTGGTCAATATAACAACGGTTACAACTGGTCAATATAACGACAGTGACCACTTGCCAATATAACACTGGTGACCACTGGCCAATATAACACTGGTGACCACTGGTTAATATAACAACAGTGACCACTGGCCAATATAACAACGGTGACCACTGGCCAATATAACAGCGGTGACCACTGTTCAATATAACAATGGTGACCACTGGTCAATATAACAACAGTGGCCACTGGCCAATATAACAACGATGACAACCACTCAATATAACAGTGGTGACCACTGGCCAATAAAGCAACAGAGACCACTGGTCAATATAACAATGGTGACCACTTGCCAATATAACAACAGTGACCACTGGTTAACATAACAACAGTGACCATTGGTCATTTGTCAAGTCCCCAAACTGACCTGGTTCACAGTGGTCCTGTGTTCCGTTTGCACCTTCCTGAGCTCCTTCTGTAAGCGCTCTATTAAGTCGTCCCTGGCACGCAGCTGCTGCTTCAGGTCTTCCACATGGCCCTCTAGCACCTCCTCCGATGATTTCCTGGAATATGGAGAGCAACTCATGAAAATGGCATTGCTAACTTGGAATTATGGCAATTAGATCTTTTACTTATTATTTAGTCATGGTTGGTTGATACTTGTCTTGTTTTTGTAACATTCCTTAAGGCCCATACCAAACTGCTGCTTATTTTATGACAGACTGATTTCTCAACTGATCCAAGCTTAGTGTGAAAATTCCTCCATACGACAATATCTATTTATCTATTTCAATCTAGAGCCAATGTTGCTTTATTATGACTAAAATTTTCACTTTATTTCAGTCTAGTGTGAACACCATATTTTATAAGACAATACTTCTCAGTTTATTTCAGTCTAGTGTGAACAGAGCTTTAAACCACTATTTATCAGTTTATTTCAGCACAGTGTGAATTTCTCTCTTCCTGTTACTCACGTTTTCTCTATCTCTTCCCACGGCCCAAACACTTGGTCAAAAGTTACTTCTTTGAAGACTAGATCATCTATCTGGAAATGACCAGAAAATAACCAGTAATGCATTTTACCAAATATCACTCTGGGCCCTCTCATTTTAAAATTGAATCATTTAAACCCAATTGCTGGATAATTTGGTTTGAATAAAATGTTGAAGCTCATCAGTGATAATTAAAAACATTCACATCTTGATCAGCTGAACTGCAATATCTCTATCATGTAGATATAATTTAACATACTACAATGAGTCCAGCTATTCCAGTGATCATAGACATGATATTATTTTAATATGAATAATCTCTGGGATCACAATGGCATATAGCATCTTCTTTATATATACAACTTGAGCTAGTGATCCAAGAATCAAAGTTTCAAAACAAAACACCTAAATTATAATTCAAGGATCTGATTCAGCATTTTCATAGGACATCTTTTCTTAATTAAGCTACTAGTATTTACTTTCAGAAAGAACATTTCTCCAGTGAACAACAGTTTGTTCATATGGGAGAATACATAGATAGATCAAATTGATGAAAATGAATAATTTCATCTTCTCATGGTGGCTGATAATCCAAGACGTCAGCAATCAAACTGCAAGTATTAATCTATCTGATTCACAGTGCATCACAATGAACATAAAATGTCACTCTTATCAAGTAGATCATATATCTGCAGGCGGTGATATTTCTCACCTGAAAACCAAATGGTCACACCATCCACAGTGTTAATGACTTTCTGTTGTATAACAAGAGCTTCATTTAGTTTCCTTATTAACACCTTAAGACCTTGATAAATATTCTACTTCTCATCAGATTACAAAGGCATCACTGTTAACTAACCCAGGGTACTGAGACTCAAGTCTTAACACAATTAACACTGGGAAGAAACTAAACATAAAAGGATTCAGAAACTGCACTTAAAGCAATAATAACTNTTAAGTAGGTCAACATTGACTATGCGATGTCAGAGAGAGCTCCGTCAGTTAAAATCTCTTAAGAGATTTTAACAAAAAACCGTTCGTTTAGGAAAAAAACCCTGGATTAACTTTGAATGCAGGAATGGGGTCGCTGACCATTGGTAAGTACGGGAAAATTGCCGTTTACTCCAGGAAAATCCAATTTTTGGCCAAAATGAAGAGTTATTATGACTTTAAATTTACATGGCAAGCAACATATGACAGTGTCAGATGTATGTTTTATGGAGATCAGCGTAATCAAAGGCTATTATCAATACTGCTAAATACTGCTAAATACTGCTAAATATTGCTATTGTATGATCTAGTGTCTATGGAAATGTCACAAAAAAAGCTTTGTCTCCACTGTAAATGGATATTTATGGAGAGAGAGAGAGAAAGCAAAGTATAAAATGACACAGGTTAAAAGTCAGATACAAAACTGGTGGCCTAAAGAGAAGGTACTGGTTAATTGTAGCAAAAATGATGCAAACACACACACACAAACACACACACTGGTGCAAGATGGATACTTCTTTTATTTAACTTTTCAAATGTCTGTACATGCATGAACAAGTGAGAGATCTTTGGTATAGGAGCTGTCACTTGAATCATAAAACACAATGAAGAATTTAAGGCTGTCCTATTGAACCTACCTCCCACCCTTAGGTTGTCCTGATAATTCCTGTGCAAAACCTACCTACCTACCACCCTCAGGTTGTCCTGGTAAATCTTGTGCAGAACCTACCTACCACCCTTAGGTTGTCCTGGTAAAGCCCGTGCAAAACCTACCTCCCACCCTTAGGATGTCCTGATAATTCCTGTGCAGAACCTACCTTTCCACTATGCTGTCATATGCTACACAGTATGAACCCTACAACCTACTGTACCACTTTCCTGGCAAATTGTAGCCAGAACCTACCTCCTAGACTTAGGTTTAGAGTACCTACCCTTCATTTTTCAAAACTACTATGCAGTACCCACTTCTAACCCTCCAGAGATCCTGGTTAATCTTGTACAAACTTACCTCCCACCCTCCTGTTGTCCTAGCAAATCCAATGACATTAATGAGCGTGTTGATGTCATGTAGCAGGTTAGCGTTCTTGTCACGCAAGACGGCATTTTCAGATTCACATCTGTCAAGTGTCTCTTGAAGGTCCTGAAAGACATAAAAATGATCATACAATTTATTCCTTTTTTTTTCAAAAATGATTACTAGAGTTCACATCTGTACCAAACAGATACCTATTATCTTAATTAGTGTATTTATATTTTGAACTGCATAATTTTTTTTTTCGTTCTCCAAATTTACCATTTGGATAATCAAATAATATCACATTTTTTTCCCTACTGATCAAAAGGTAACACTTTGAGCCATCTGTTCCTTATATATACAAAGACAGCTTAATTTTAAATTAAAGAGCACTCAGTACAACTCACTTCTATAACATTATCTGATTTTTCTTTCTCAACAGCCACTGCTCTCATCTCTCTCTCATAATCTTTAGCCTTTCCCATGTATTCCTGAAACAAATAAAATCTAATGTCAGTAATATCACTTAGAAACATTAGTCTCACCACCCAGGATCTTTCCAGAGATATTTACTTGATGTGGTCCCTTTATTTTCCAGTAAATTTGGTATAGTGGTAGTTATTGTTGTTGCTGGTATGTTCATTGATATGGCAGTCACAGTGATGCATACACAGTACAGTATTAGGGAATAGTTTCAAAATGTTGCTTTCTATGAACTGGCCAAACTGATACCCAGGTTCATCCTTGTCAAACTTTGTGCCATCTTTTATCTGTCAAACCACCCCATACCAGTGAATTGTGGTTTAACAAGTAAATGGTATTTACTTAAAATTTAAAATGCTACAAAGTTTCAATTATTTATTACTTACAAACTATTTTGAATGAAAATTAATCCACATTGCTCAAATTTATTTAGTAATTACATTCCCCTAAAATCAAAATCATTACCTTGGTACTCATTTTCATTTCTCTCTCCTCTACCCCCATATACACTCACAGCACCCCCCTTCCCCCGCCCTTTCTACTCTGGGGGAACAGTTGCACCCTTCCCCTCACTCGTACCAAAATTACCTACAATATCCAACATCAAGTGTCAGCACTTCAAAAGCACTTCTAAAATGTGTTCTAGTTTGGTCAATAATAATTCATTTTAGACAAAAGGCCAATGACCATTATAACCTAGGGAATGAATTATCTGAAATATTACCCCTCCGTTGATGCCAGTTTCCACCTGATCTTGCCAGCGCACTTTCTTTGGTGTGCTGGTCACCTTGGGGTGCAATATCCCATGGCTATTCATTGTAAAAAGAATCTAGGGTGCTGCAGACCCCTCTTGCCTAGATTTCCTTCACAGCTTTGGAATCAACTTTCTTACTAAATGAACTGCATTATTCATTGGCATCTGTTCCAGCTCTAATTTTAGTACTTAGTACATCAGGACTTCATTTCTAAGAAAATTAACATCAAATTGTGCAAATTATTATTTTAAGACAAAAGGCCAATGACCATTATTAACTAGAGAATGAATTATCTGAAATATTACCCCTTCATGGATGCCAGTTTCCACCTGATCTTGCCAGCGCACTTTCTTTGGCGTGCTGGTCGCCTTAGGATGCAATATTCCATGGCTATACATTGTACAAAGAGTCAAGGGTGCCACAGGCCCCGTTTCCTTGGTGTCTTTTTCTCTCTAGAATTCCTGAACAGCTTTGGAATCGGTTCTTACAAAGTGAAGTGCATAATTCATCGACATCTGTTTCAGCACTAGTTTCAGTACTTTGTACATCAGGACATCATTTTCTGAGCAAACTGACACCACATTGTGCAAAATATGAGGGCACTTACTGCCTGCCTGTTCTTGGAGCCCTGTGCATATTATATAATAAAGCAAAACAGCAAACAGAACTTAGTAACAGAGCACACATTTCTCGAATCCTGTAAGTTTAACCATAAAAAAACACCAATCCAAATATTTTCTACATCCTGATTATGACCTATACACAGTATATTTGAATACTGTACAAACGAAACATTGGTGACAGACTTAAATCAGTCTCTACAGCAAACCAGCATTGCAGTCTGTAAATTTTTTTCTCATGAACAGGAGAATCTTGAAACTTTTCTGATGGATCTCATCCTGACAAACTGTACAGTGTCAATCCTTATGTTCACCATAAGAGCATTCCGTTTACTAGTAGCATCCTTAACCAGCTGCCTTCAAGGGGTTCGAAAGGAATAACATCCAAAAATTGTGGAACCTCAAATAATAACCCTGCCTCCTTCTTACAAGTCATGAGCGGCAAACACAGTAACAGTTCCTGCCTTTTTGTGCGGAAAACTGTTTCAAATTAATCAGTATACAATTACCGAGGGGCCCTATAAATCCAGTGCACGTAAATTGACTGGTCCAATTTGTTTATTCTTTGGATAAAGACGCTTTGATTGTGGACCCAATTCAGACCAGTTTATGATTCAGGAATTTATTTCTTCTTTTATCAAGATTTTGTAAACATTGCTCTCTCTCTCTGTTTGTTTGTGTATTACATGAAATAAAAGAAATCAGCACAAGAAGTAAACTAGAGAACAAAGGTCTGCTGCTTACTCTGGGAAGAAGCGGCAAATTTAATGCTGCTGTTTCCAGAATGAATGAGTTATGGGGTAGTAAAATGGAAAGGAGATGACATGAGAATGATTTTCAGTTTAAATTGTGCTCATAAAATACAAGGTCATGCAAATAACCGGTTTCTCACAGAAGAAATTGCCGTCAAATCACACCTTCCAACTCATCATATCTCTCACATTTATGATTTGAATTTCAAATAATTATTTTGGTGTCCGTGTCAAGAATCACTTTGAATGGAGTTTTATTTTATTTGTCAGTTTTCAATGGAATACATATCTGCAGTGACAAGACAGGAACTGAATGCTAAATATGAAGAACTTTTAGCTTGCATAACCATGATCCGGCCTTGGTACATTATCACGCAAATTTTACTTATTAGTAAGTCAAAACTGAGTTAAAACAGTACTATTATCAATTTGTTACTTAGTAAGCATATTCCATTTTAGACATTAAAATTATCTTCAGAATATGTCAAAATTTTAATGTCTAGCATGTGCTTAGACAATTGAAACATGTATCCTGAACCTTGGTAACTGTGAACAGAAAAATGATGAGGCCATCTAAATGACAGAAGTACAGTAAGGTATTTCACAGTTGATAAATAACCCACTAGATCAATTACTGGAAAGCTGAAAACTTTGAAGAACAGTTGTATATTCATAGCAGCAGTTATGAAAAAATTGCCAGACTGATGGACTATTATCAGGACTGGGCTCCATAACTCGAAAGCATCCCAAATTGCCACCGAGTGCAAGCGTCTCTATTCCATAACTCGGGGATTTACTCGCCCCATATAAGAGCCTTGAAATGAAAGGTGATATTGCTATTCGCAATTCGCGATGTTTTCAAGTTACGGAGCCCTGATTGTATATTCAAAATGGCAGCTCTTTGAACTATTGCTGGTCCTTTAGACTGACTAAAAGTAAAAATTGTAGTGGTCCTCGAAAATTTTTAAAGGCCCTGACTGGTCTGATCAGTACTATTAGTTTCATGATGTCTGCAATAAGACCCCACTAGGTTAAGAGTTTCAGTTAGGCTCTGTTCTCACAACTTTTAGATCGATCTATCACCGCGGGGAGTCTCACTAGATTACTGTCAGATAATCCCCCTTAAGTGTCCGTCCCCGCCTACTACAAGCTTTAAGGGGTAATTAACTTTCGTGTCCGCCCGGCTGACAGCTATTTAGCGTGAACCCCCAGGGAGTTAGGTCGATCCAATGTAGGTCGATCTAATCTATGAGAATGGGGTGTTAGAAATAGCTGACTGGATAGTAGCTAGTCCCCTTGATCAATTCTATTCGAGATTTAAAACTGACACCATGCACACAAGATATTTGCAAATGTCTCAGTCAGTTTATGCATCCTTTATTGGCCGTCATTACCTGTAATAATTTTTCACTTATCTACTCATTTTATTTCTCTTTCTTTCTTTATCCCATCACAGAGTGAGAGTGTCTCATAATCTACCTGTCATAATTTATCACCCCCTTTTATCAAACATTTCCCACCTTAACTGAGCTGGCAGTCTTTTGTAGTTTAGATTCTAAGATGGCAACCCGGTCGTTTGCTTCGCGTTCCAGTTCCTCCACTGTCTGCACCAACACCTCGTTCTGCTCGCTCAAGTCATGCACATATGACTGCATGATCCTAAGACGCATCTGTAAGGATTATAATATGTATGATATATAAATAAAATAATGCAAAAATTAGCAGGACATGATACATATGAAAAAAAAAAAGGAATCACATTTTTCATATCAAAATAGTTTTGTTACATGTGGTGAACAAACATCATGTTGAGATAAGACAGCTACATGGACATAGGACAAGTACACATACCTTCGAACCTCTTGTAAAACTTAGTGAAAATAGAGGAAAACGAAAAAATGATGAAAGAAAATAAAGCTGATTTGTCGCAATATTATTCAACAACTTGCTAACATTAACAGAAAATTAGCAAGAAATTCACGCATTATTACAATTGACAATTTAGATATCTCTGTTGATGGGAAAACTGGTTGAGTTAACAGAAGTGTGCACGTTGAGGAGATGAGAGATAAGATAAAAATTTGAGAGCTCCCACACTACAGCTGGTTTGAAAACTGGTCTTCATTTAACTTTTTGAGGCCTTTGCTCTCATACCTTAGCACAGCGTAGATATGAAAATCATCAACAGGAGTCCTAGGCATGAATTTTGTGCTAGCAGAAAATATGAATTATGTGACTGAAAAAAAATTTTGGGGAAAGAAATGGTCATCAACACTGGTGCAAAGATAATGTGCTTTGGCTTTCAAATTTCTACAACTCCTTTGAAACCAATATCAAAATTTTACTTTGTCACATTTCTACAATTTTTTATGTAATAATATTGTAAGTATTTACTTTGTGTTTATATCAAAACCAATATTAAATTTTTATCTTAATTTAGTCTGATCAACAGTAAACATAAGAACACAGTATTGGCACTGTCACATCACCATTAGTCTTCTACATCACTTATTTTAGCATAACATACTGCCACCCTTTAACAGTGACAAGCTTTTAAAACAATTAGATTTTGTTATAAAGTCAGTTACTGAATTTTTTTCTTGATCATATTGGACACTGGAGAAGACCATCACAATATGTTAATACTGCACCACTTTTCATTGGCAGCAAGTTAATAAAATCATATAGTACTACATGTAGTACTGTAGTAAACACGGTTTGAGAGGAATAATTAACAGCACTGTGTTGATGATTAAACTATCAAAACGTGGCATAATTTCATCCCGCCAATCTATCAGAAATGAGTTCCCCGTAAATATTCAAATTGCATTTTCTTTTTATAACAACAATTCCACAAAAAAATCTTGCAACAGCCAAAATGAAAAAATCTTTTACATCCATGTGACTAGAAATTGGTACATCAAAAAACCTATCGTAATTTTGGAGAAATCTATTTTTATTTATGTATATAATTATAACAATTAACTTATCTTATTTAATATCATTTTAACTTATTACTACAATAAATTCTTCCCTTGTGCATTACTACAGTACGGGTGCCCATGTGACAGTGACAGTGGAAAGGGGGGGGGGTGCAATACCTTTGACGTATCCTCTCCAGACCTTTCAGCTTCGTCCAGTCTACGTAGACGGCTGTCATAAAGCGTTCGAAATTCCGTTAAAAGTCCTTGCATGTGTCCACTGGTGCTACCAGGCCTTTGCCCCACTCGGGAAGTGGCACGCCGGTCAACACTTGTTGACATATGCGATGATCCATTCATGCTCTCCGTCAGTCTCCGACTTTGTCCGTTTGTAAAACTGCTAGCACCCCTATCTGCCATTTTTAGGCTTCTCAGGCAAAGCCAGTGATATATAGCTCACTGATTTCTATTCCCTTATTCTTTCCTTGCGCATTACCATCATTTAACACCAATAATCTGTAATATCATCACTGTTTTCATTCTACTTTCATTCGAGTTATAACGACGCCGCAGCAAGCAACTCGATTGGTTTACATAGTGGTCACATGACTTTTTACTACCTACGACCTTCACCTTGTACATTTACGTCTACTGTCAATGGGTACTTGGTAAACTTGTGCACGGGGCGAGCATAATCGACAATGTCTTTGTGATTTTGGTCCGATATCGAGCACATCCAGTTCTGCCAGAAGCTTTAACGCATGATTTTTGTGTTACTCTGTGCATATTTTATTTGAAGTGCACTGTGCTTAAAATAGACAAAATGTCAGTATATCAGTATTCGGTCACGACCTTGGCCCATATACGAGATGTTATAAATGAAAGTTCGTCTTTGCTTGTAAATTCTGAGCAGCAGTGGCATCTAGAGCCCGTTCTTCGTTACCATTATGTCTGTGGCTAAAGAAGTAATCCGTGTTGCCGTGATAGGTGCCGGTGCCGCGGGCCTGGTGGCGTTACGCCATCTTAGTTCACAAACGGAGACGTTCCAGGCGTTTGGGTTCGAGCAGACTGGAGTGGTAGGGGGGACATGGGTGTACAACGAGAATACGGGAAGCGATGAATACGGTCTTCCAATACACTCCAGTATGTACAGGGACCTAAGGTTTGTGACAACATGTCTGTTAAATGGTAAATTATGTGTCATTTAAATGTTGTTATAATTTTAATTTTTTTTATCATTTGTTGATTTTTAAATCAACATTAAAATTAAAATTGAATGTAATTAAAATCACACACACACACACACACACACACACACACACACACACACACACACACACACACACACACACACACACACACACACTGTATGTTCAGTTGATTTCTTAATATGGCTCACCATTGAACAAAATTAAATCATAAAAAAAAATTCTGAAACAGGGATTTATAGACATTTTTATAAAGTTGGTTTTAAAATAAGTGGTGCAATTTTCTCTATCAGGACAAATCTTCCCAAGGAGGTGATGGCATTTCCTGATTTCCCATTTGAGAAAGATGGGCCTTCCTTTATCACTCATCAAGCTGTCAGAAAATACCTTGAGGATTACGCTGAACACTTCAAATTGAAGCCTTTAATCAAGGTTTGTGTTGAGTTCACAAAGCATTTTAAAACATATTTTTGTTTTTTATTTATGCTTTGTTTTACCTATTTGTTTTGTGTTCTGATAACATGAAGAAGTAGATATAAGGTAAAAAAAATGGATAATATCTAAAACTTGAAGCGTACATCACAAATCAGATTTTGCATTAACATTCTGTTCAAACCTTAATGTCTTTATTTTATTTTCATAATAATATTTTAGTTTGAACAAAGTCGGCAGTCTTCACATGGTAAATGCAATTTAAGCTTAGGCTCTTTCACATCAAGTTGTACATTTTACTGGATCAGTCCACTTTGAGAGGTTCTAGCATGTAATTACACTTTTTTCTCCTTTACACAAGTTTTCCACAAGTTGACTTTTTGCTTTTTTATTATGTAAATAAATGGGCTGGGTTTTGTTAGGTGAGTCTTTTAGTTAATTAAATAGGAAGGCTATTAAGGCCATTCTCTCTAAGAGGACCAGTCTAGTTGAGTGCACCACTCGGCATGAAAATGGACTTAATATACTGACCTTATAGATGATTATTATTTTTTAAAGTTTTTCACAGAAGTTGAAAGTGTAAAACCAGTTCAAGGTCAACACGGAGAGCAGGTATGGCAAATACAGTACAAGGATGTGAGAGTCAAGGACAGTTTAGTGGAAACATTGGAGACAGATGCAGTTATTGTTTGTAATGGGTTTGTACTATAACGCATTTCAACATTTGATTAAGAAGTTAAAATTAAATTTTAACTGGTACTAAATTAAGTTATTGTAACCAGTGTTTGAACATGTGTAGCTAAAATTTTGTCATTATGAGAATATTTGAGTCAGCCAGTGTTGAAAATTTTACTAGGATTTTCGATGTTAAGATGTTATATTTAATTGCCCATTAAACACTTAATAGTTGGCTATACATTGGCCTGTATGCTGTATGGATTTGCATTGATCATTCCCTATATTTCAGTAGAGAGCTACAGTACACTGCACACCAGAATTATTGTGACAAGATTTTAATGCCTACACATGGCACCTTTTAATTCTTTTTGTTTTTTATTGGACAGGCATTATTCAGTCCCAGTTATTCCTGATTTTCCTGGGATGGAAAAGTTTAGTGGCCAAGTGTTGCACAGTCATGACTACAGGTATCCAGAGCCATTTAAAGATAAAGTGGTCTGCTGTTTGGGAGCAGGTGCTTCAGGGCAGGACATAATGTTAGAGTTGGCGAAGACTGCCAAACAGGTGCAGAACCTCATTATTCCCCCATTTTACACGAGTAGATGTTTACAATGCATGTGAATGTGACAGAGAAGTCAGGATCACCAGAAAAAAACTTCAAGTTATTTTTTGGGGATGCGTGCAGCTCACATATAAGATAAGTGTAATTAAAGATTGTCTAACAAAGCTACTGCAAGTTTTAAAAATTTCTATCCTTTTTTTCAGGTTATTTTGAGTCACAACAAAGCTCCATTGAAGTCTGACTTGCCAGCAAATATACACCAAGCATCTGGGATTGACGCAATGACAGAGACTGGGGCAGTGATGAAAGATGGCGAAGAGTGTCATTTTGATGTTTTGATTTTGTGCACAGGATACCATTACACCTTCCCTTTCCTCTCCCCAGAATGCTCTCTTAACATTGAAGACGAACGCGTGATCCCCCTGTACAAACACATCATCCACACGGAATGCCCGCGGCTGTCATTTATTGGAATCTGTAAACAAATCTGCCCCTTCCCACAATTCCACAACCAAGTGAAGTTTGTTCTTAAGACTCTGGATGGCTCGCTGAAACTCCCCACAAAAGAGGAGATGGATGCTGATATAAAGCAGGATTTTGAATGGCGCCTGGGTCAGGGATTCCCCAAGCGCCATGCTCACACTATGGGCCCCATGCAGTGGCAGTATAATGATGAGTTGGCTGATATCGGGCAGTTTGAACACATCCCCAAAGTTGTAGAGCAATTATATCAAGATGTTCATAAAGTGCGAGTGACACAGCTGCAACATTACAAAAAATGCAATTACAGATTGACTGGACCTGATTCTTATATAGAAGTCTAATCAGAAGGTTACTCATAATACAGCTCAATGCATCCCAAACAATCACTGATAATTATTAGGTAGGATAAGACAAAAAATAAATAAATAAGCAACTAAATAAATAAGGGATATTCTCATAAGTGCCAAAAGTAATGTTTTGAATCATTTGAAAAAAATTAAAATGGAATGTTTTTACTTAAAATCTGTGTTTTTTTTTATTTATATTTTAATCATGGTGATTTCTTATAAGGACAGTGAATTATGGTGTGAGTTATTTAATTGAATGGAAAGACAACAGTTGGTAAAGTTGAATGCATCCAAAGGAAAATGATAATTTCAGTATATAATAAATGAAATGATATTTAAATAAATGAATAAAATTAACAAATGAAGTTGACATAAGTGCCAATGAAAATATTTTGAATCTACTTTAAAATGAAAATTTGAAAGTGGAATGGTTTGTATTCTAATTTTGTGTTGATTTTTATTTTTTGAATGATATTTTACTGACAATTAAAAGACATAGTATATAAATAATTTTAACAAATAGATATATCCAGGTATGCAATTATAATGTTATGTAAATCTTTATATGAGAAGGGTTAACAATGTTATGTCATGACTTTTTGCAGTTCGCAAGGAAGAAGTTGAGTGGTGTGATGGGAAAATGTGATTTTTTTTTCAAAGTCCAATTAAGTTGTATCCTAAATATAAATGGATGTTCAGATTATTACTTTTTAATGGGATAGTAATTTTTTTTTAATTTACAGGTGTGTGTTTTTACAAGCTGATTGATATAAGCATAGGGTGTGCCAAATAATAATTTTTTAAAATCTAAAATTCTTACAAGTATATTAATTCTTTACAGTGTTAAATTATTAAATTATTTAAGACGAGATATAAACAGTGCTAAAGATGGTAAGTAAAAGGGCACATTGAAAATTACATGTACATTTTTAATTTATACATAAAAGAACTTCACCTATTAAATTACCATTACAAAAAATATATAATTATGGTGTTAATTCAATCAATTGATTTTAATGTGTTCGATAGTTATTTATTGTAAATATTCATGTTTGCTTTAGATTAATGAATGATGTTCATGCACTAGTATCTTTATAGGTCAGCTAAGCTATATGTACCCTCTACCAGGTTGGCAGATATTATGTAGGCAAATTTCAAAGAGCCAGAGAATCTAATGACTGTCTATTTATCTTAAGACATAACTTAATATCTTGTGAAAAATCAATCTGCCGCCCTGGTATAGAGGGTAGGCTATGTGGAGTTATGCACTGATTAAGTTCCTCAGCTACTGCAATATGACATTTAAAAATAAAAAAAGAAAAGGTTTCATTCACTTAAGTTATAGTTAGATAATTGATTGGTTACCAAAAATTTTTCAACTTGTACAGTACTGTTAATCAACGGGACATAGAGATAGACTAAATGTCAATAAAAAATCAATTTGAGGAAGTGTAGAAAAAGGTGTCAGTACACTTTTTTATTTTCACATATTATCATTTAAAATGATTTTAAAATGCCAACGTTAAAAAGAGTAAATTTTAATTCTTGTTTTCACGAAATAAAATAAAATCGCCGTCGTTCATGCATTGAAGGACCCCTGCCGTCACACAAACCGCATTCCATATGTAAACAAAATCAGCTGACGACGTTTGGGTCGCATTACAAGGTCACCGTGTCCTTGAAATTTGATTGGCCAGTAATGACATCATTAAACAAAACTGTATTTTCATTGGACGTCGACAAGGTGTCACGTGCACCTGTCCTCAATAACAACAAACAAGATGGCTGAGGTGGCAGGCCCATCGCTGGAAGTCCGCGACGAAAATCAAGCGATCGCAGACGAAGATCGAGAAAATATTGAACCTGAGAAGAAAAAAGCAAAGACAGAAAAAGGAGGGAAGCATTTACCTTACAACTTGGAGGAAAGACTAAATGGTATTCTTTGTTGCACCGTTTGTTTGGACCTACCAAGGTCGGCAGTGTATCAGGTACGTGCACGCTTTTAACAGCTGGGCATTTGTTTACAGAAATTATTTTTGAGATCGCAAGAATGTGACAGAGATGTGGACTTATTATTTGTTACATTTGTAAATATAAAACCAGACAATTCATTGCACCAAAAGTAGACTCGCTTGGCCGTATTTTTTTCATTAAATTAGGAACTGAAATTTGGGGATCATTCTTCACACTTGGCTGATTTGGCACACGGGCTGTAGAGATACTCCCCCTTTCATTTCTGTTGCACTTATGACAGTCTTTTATGATCTAAATAATTTTTATACACAATTAAAAGTACCAAACACACAGAAATATGATCGATCATATTTCTGTATCCACATTTACCCCACCTAAATGACCTAATAAAGGAATCACGTGACCGGTGATGATATGTCTGGAACGCTGCCAGCAGTATGTATAGAGTTAATGTATTCGTAGGAAGGCATGCGGAACGGTCATGATGAAATATGACTCTTGCATTTCATGTTCAACAACATATTTTCTCATATTAAAAGATGCATATATGTTTTGATTAGGCATGGAGACATGCCAAAATCAGATTAAATAAACAAAATATATGTTATATATACATGTAGAAGAATATTTTAGAATAAATAAATTGAAATTAATGCAATAAGGCAAACATGAATAGAAATATGAATTGATAAGGTGCTAAAATCTCCCCCGCTTTATTTCAGTGCATCAATGGACACCTGATGTGTGCTGGATGTTTCTCACACCTGCTGGCTGATGCACGCTTAAAGGACGAGACGGCTACGTGCCCCAACTGTCGCTGTGAGATCAGTAAAACGCATTGCTCCAGGAACCTCGCTGTTGAGAAAGCCGTGTGCGAGCTGCCATCTGAGTGTCAATACTGCGCTAAGCAGTTGCCACGGTGTAAATTGGAACAGCATGAGTCGGAGCTGTGCATAGAGAGGTACTACATTGGTGTTCTATCTCCTGATCCCCCATGGCAACTGTTGCCATGGTGATACTGTGTGCACTAGGTTTGGCCACCCAGTGTGGCCCACTAACTCACAGCATTCTCTTTTGTAGGGATAAACACTTTCCCCTTTCACTCAAAAACAATTTGTTTTTAAAATAGCTTTTCACCTCAATACTACGGTCTGTAATGGACGTGTATGACGCTGCGGGCCCGTCTCATTGGTTTCCATGGTTACTGTTGGACGTCACCATTGCAGCGCACTCTGGCATTTTGGTTGTGGTCTTGAGTGTGGTGCGTTGGTAGTCAGCGACTCTGGCATCATATGGAAGGGTAGGTCTAATGTGTTTTTTACTCCCCATTCCCACTTTCTGATGGCCTTTCATTTACATCTTTTCAACCGATGGACACGGACAGTAGGCTCCAAACTTTCTCCTCCATTCTCCCCGTGCTCCCAGTTGGTTCATTTTTGTCACACATGCAAACGACTTTGTGCTCCACACCCAACTGTCTTTAAATATACTTTTGTTTTTCAGGGTGGGTGATACTTATAGTGAGTATAAGTGCCCCAGCTGTGTTGTATATATGTATATATAGTTGCATACTCATTTGCATACAGTTACCATATATAGTGGCCTATGCTAATGTGAGGAGCACCAAGGAAGTCAGTGATTTAGATAATAATGAACGACTGGGAGACCACAGGAGCAGACAAATTTGAAAATAAAAAAGTATATCAAATGCTCAAAAGTAAAATGCTATGTAGATATATATATTTAAATAGCAGTGTTTCTTTGTATGAAATTATAATTTTTTCATATTAATTGCTTTACATGACAATAAATTTGGTGTTTCAGCAGTATTAAATCATATGGTTGACACTGATTGAGAATGAAAATGTAGTCATGAAGACCTTGTAAACAGCTTACAACTGAACATGCTACGAAAATAGAAGAGGTTCCGAAACCAAACTCTTAATTTTCTGTTTAAATTAACCTGGGAAGATTGAGATCAACCATACCCCTGAAAACATGGCTGATTTTTAAACATGCACACATACATGAATATATATATGATTTTACCAAACCTCTTGAATTAAAATCTAATCTGGTTTTCTTTCTTTATTTCTACTATTGTAGAATAACAGCTTGCAAATACCTCCGTATTGGATGCCCATGGAAAGGGCCCTTTCACGAGCTGTTTTTGCACGAACAATCTTGCCTCCATCCAAAAAAAAGTGGAGATGAAATAATGGAGGCACTAAAACAGATTGACGAGAGTCGAGCTAGGGAGACCATGCTCTTTGACAGCATATTTAATTTGTTGTCTTTTGAGAAAATCACCTTCAGTGGTAAGACGATGGTGATTACTGCAGTAAAGATTCTTCCAGTAACATCTTAAATTCTGGTACCTGTTTTGTGAAATCATTTTGTCGTTCATGTGTGATTTTGCGATAATTCATTTTAAAGCTTTTCAGTAAAATCTAATTTTCAAGTTGTGCCATTTTTACAGTTTCAAAAATTCCTTTACTTTGAATAGTTGTCTCTATATTTTCCTTAATGACTGTTATGGTAACTGAAGTATTTGTCCAGAAGCTCTGCTGGACCTGTGTAAAGTATTGCCATGCTCTGATTGTATTTCTAGATTTGCAGCTCCGACCATACCGCACAGATGACTTCATCACAAAGCTTTTCTATGAGACCAGCCGCTTCACTGCATTCAACCTACAGTGGGTGATAAAAGCACGTGTCAATGACGACATAAAGAACCCGCATCAAACTATGCGCCGCATGCTCAGCTATCAGCTCGTGCTGAAGAGTAAAATCCAGGCACCCATTGACATGTACTTCATAGCACTTCAGGGACCATATGGTGAGACTAAAGTCAGACCCATCATATACCGCCACGAGTTTTCCGACGACTCTCCCGAGACTGACTATCACATTCTTCCCGTGATAAACTCTATGGAGTGCAACAAAATGCTGGCAGCAAAAACTGTTAATGTCAGACTCATTCTTTTTCAGGTCCAAAAGTAATTCGAAGTTGACAATGCGCAGAGAGTGAAAAAGAGACATTGTAGATCAGATTTGCTCTGAAAATGGGGCCCATAAAACGTTTGCGTCATGTAGATCAAGGTTCTCTTACAGGTTATGAATTAGGTGCATGCATAGAGAGAAAACTGTCAAAAAACAGGGAAAGAATTTTAAAGAACTTTAACTTATTAAGCAGTCACAGTTAAGTTGCCATGATGATGTCACTTTTATTAATCTGTCACCTTAAATTATGCTTGCCTTTCAGGTTGATACTGTCCCTGCTTTCTGAGGTGTGATGTAGAATCAATCTGAATACCCACACCTGCCGAGATATCATTTTTTATACAAAATCCACCTAAATTACAACATCTCTATATTTACAACTACTGGATAGTCAGGTTCCATTAATTTTTTCTCCAAAATTCAATTATGGTTAATGATTTCAATTATACACCCTTTTAAATTGGTTTTGACAGTGTTTTTAGATTTTTTCAAGTGTCAAAATTTTGCCATCCCATCAATTGAAAACACTGTATTTAAATCCCTTTTCTGCGTAAATTTTCAATTCTAAGCTGCCTTACTGTCTGTTGTTTTGTTGTTGTTTTTTTAGAGCCCAAAAATCTCATCTTGAATTTTGATGCTTATTACACCTGACTGGGTTTACAGCATTTTTACACAGTTTGCCCATTAATCTGTAAAATGAATACTTTTCTCCCCAAGGATCTGAGTTTGCTGTCAGGTAAAGGTGAAAGTCACCTGTGTGAAGAATGTCTGTGTGGAATATTTCAGAATATTAGTGTGTGCCTCGTTTTGTTTTTGTTAACTAGAGAATTGGTTGTGGTGCATGTTTTTCAGTGGTGAAAGAGTGAGGGGTTGGAGAGGGGGGGGGGGTGTTATTGCCACTGATTAATTGTCTGCTTTAGGGTTGAACACAAATGAAATTGATATCATTAAACAAATTCAGCTAAATTGTATAACTTGTGTTTTATTTTTATTGTAAAATTTTTTTTCTCATTTTTGCATTGTTTTTAAAAGTTTTTAGTTCCCCCCCATATTTACATACTTTCCATTTTTGCCATTATCTACATGTAGGTCATTAGGTAGGAAACAAATTAAAAAAGTTAAACCCTTAACATAACTTCCTAGATACAGAATTGACAAAATCTATTTGAATTCTGTAAATTTGGGTCTTCTATGAAAACAGGAAAGATCCCCCAACCTGCCTTATATCGCTTGTAGCTCTCTTCTGAATTATATCATTGAACATTTAGATACCTAGTGGACTCTTATAGGCATTTTCCCCTTAATGTTGCCTCTTCATGTTTTAGTTTGTTGCTTTTTACTGGAATGAGTGTAGAAGTATGGAAACGTTTTAAATACCTCATGTGCTTGGTTTAAATGTTCAGAAGTGATAGAAGTATTTTTCACTGTAACTTAACGTTTTAAGTCTTCTGCTGCAAGTGGGTTGTTTTGGATAAAGCAGAAATGGTGCTGTTATGTTTTATTTGTTGTTAGATTTTGATGTGGAGAGTTTGAAGGCTGAAAGATTCACATACTGGCATGATGTGGATGCTTGTTATGTGTTGTGCAGAATGATGTTCAATAGTGTGAGATGTCAAAATGCACAGTGGTTTTTCATTACCATTATTTTCTGGAGGGATGACTATGGATGAAAGAAAGGGGAAAGTATTGTTTTCTGTATGTTTTGTAAATGTCGAGGAAAAAAAGGCCAGAAATAATGCAGTCTTCCTTCATTTTTTTCTTGGTTTTGTAGTAGTTGTGCCATGTGTGGATGCTGATAAGAAAAGGATGCAAGGTAACCGAAAATGTAGAGACTTGAGATTTGATTGAGTCTTTAATAGCCTCTATGAGTAATTGGAATATTTTTCCTTTGGTGTAACAATTGCTTTATAATCCCATCAGTAATTCCAGTTTTGCTCTCTGCCTCATGGGTTAAACTTGGTATGAGTATCTGAGAGAATATAGCTCTAATAAATAACCCATGGCCACAGCATATACAGAAAAAGATTTGGTACTGGTAAAACAAGATTCAGGGATGTCATACAGTATTTCTTGATGGCCAGTATTTTTATTCTGGTGTAAATACACAGCCTTTTTATGGCCACAGAAGGTGCATTTATTTTCAGGTCTTTTGATTTTGATCTGTACATAAATGACCCCCGAGCTTCAGAGGGTTGATGTGAACTTGATTTCTTTATGGAAATTATCCCAGCAAACCTCTATATGTAAATAAGCACATATTGGGATGTCTTGATTGAGAGAGAAGTCAAATTCAGTGCTTTGAAACTCGGGGTATCAAGTGGTGAGTGAAAATTGTGTGAAATTAGGACATTCACGTTTATATTTCTAGTCCAAGTCTCGGCTAATATTTTATCAGACTTAAGGTTTTTTAAGATCTTAATGCTGTTTAAGTTGTCAAAAACTCAGATGCAACATAGATTTGGTTTTTATTACCTAGCTTTTGTGACATGTTTTGTCATAACTGGAAAAAAAAAAAAGAGTACAGAAACCTTTACTATTTGTAATCTTGCCAACTTCAACATTGCTAATATTGCAAGTTTGTAATTAGATGCCATACTAGTTAAAACAGCCTTATAGTGAAGCTATCTTATTTATTATGTCAATATGATCAGTGATGCACAAGTCGTGAAAACCAATAAAGTAAAGAGTAGTATACCATTTGCAAATGCGTTTGTTGTTCAGATCACATCTAGACAATCAGTTTTTGATGTCTAGGAATACTGGGACTTAAAGGGATAATAACTCTTCGTATGACATCTATATTTCACAATAAAAACATTGTAAACAACCCATAGAAATAGAATATATTCTGTTTTACCCCAAAAACGGCAGCTATAGTTATTATTCTGATATCTGAGCTTGTCATTGGACCACGTGACCTCCATAGATGGCTATATATCTTAAGACATCATTACAAAAAAAAAAAAAAAACTTAAGAAAAAAAAAAAAAGAATTGACTAACTTTGAATGTAGAAATGGATTCATTAACCATTGGTAAGTATGGGAAACTTGTTTACTCCAGGAAAATTCATTTTTTGGCCAAAACGATCAGTTATTATCCCTTTAACTGCAAAAGTGATAATATCTACTTTAGTCCTCTATTTCTTTTATTACAATTATTGATACCTATCCTGAAAAGGTACCCACTTTCACTACATTGTTTATTCCATATCTCTTTTGAAACAGAAAATGCAACAAACTGTTTAATAATAAAAAACCCTCCCCAATATTAGACTATTAATAGACTATATCTAAATTTCCAAGGTTGGGGTAAGGAACTCGAGATGACTACCATCTAGTTGCCATAAATATTCACAACATCCGATGCATGCCTAAACATATGGCCGAAAGAAAAAGTGAGAATGCATGTCATGACTGTGTATAAGTTGTATGCTTTGTACGCTTGTCTATAATGTTCTGAAACAGAAAGTACCAGCCTGTCTAACAATAAAGAACAAAACGAGTATTAGAGATAAAAATAGTGGGTTTCAATTAGTACCACATGCGCAAGGAATCTGTGAGCTAAAATGAATAACGGGATTCAAAATGTAGTTTTTCAACAGTACCGCATTTATTTACATTATTTACAATCACCTATGTACACATCTATGCAGAATGAAGCACATCTAATCCCCTTGCCTTGCATTTTTTGCACCGAATATGATTTAATAGAAAAATCTTCCTCGCTGTAAAAGAACAGTAATTCACTTTTCTTCCCCAACATTATATGATAACTTCCACAAATATGCCCCTTGAACCCTCTGTTAATTTATAAAGAGTTACATATCTCTCTTTTTGAAAAAATACTCTTGGATTCTGCCAATATGAAAGGCTAGGAAAGTACCACAATAGTATTAATAAAGGCTAGAAAATTGTGCATTGGAAAATGCCACAAAAGTGCTGTGATACCAGGGTTCAATGATCATTCAGTTGGTACCAATGGACCCCAGTACCAGACAAACAAAATTTCTGAAGTTCTGCAAACTGCCCTGTGACTATTGTACTGTCCTCATAATTGATTATTGCTGTTTCCTTACATGAACCTTAGATTTGGGAACACAAATGCACAAATTAACGACTCCAGCCACAAATTAACCACCCCAAGGTAGAATTATTTGCCACAAGCTTAGCATTTCATTACTCAAACATATACTCAGTATACATAGGCCCCCTATGGGTTATTTTTATATGGCAGCAATGCATTCTTGACTATACAGGCTCATACAGACATAAGGGGATAAAAGTAATTTTACATTGGGACAGTTAATTCATGGCTGGGCTGGAGTCTTTAATTTGGGCATTTGTCCTTTCAAATCTGAGGCTTGAGTTAGAAAATGACTGAGCTGTTTATAAGGCCTGAGGAAGCACCTACACTGACTTGGGATGTGAGGTGTCCAAAACCTGACTGGGATAATAGACTTTAACTGGGCTGTTACAGTTCAATGACACCCTAATCCATAAAGTGCTGGATATTTACTGATCACAGAACAGAATTTTGTTAAATCGGCATAGGATACTTTGTGAATCAAGACACTGATATGTGGAACTGTAGTGATATTCCCTGACGACTACTATAACTTGAGCCTCTTGATGTCATCTCCTCTGAAGTCAACCCTGTAAAAATGCAGGTCATACAGGTTTAAGAATACAAATTTGCACTGTTAATGTGAATGTTCATGTTTCATCTACTTCACATTTTATATTTACCCTTGGGGGAATATGCAAGATAAACTAATACTAATAGAATGCATCTCACAGTCAGTGTTAATTTAGCTTATCCAAACTTTTTTCACATTTTTTACTGTAAAAAGGAAAAAAAAACATGCAACTGTTACTTTGGACAATTATTGGAAACACTCCTATTTAAATATTTTTCAAATGAGTCCTTCACAAGTTCAATGTTTACCTTAGGGTCAAGACCTGCCTGACCTCGGTGGGGGTCAACCTCCATGTCAGAGGACCCGAGTTAGGACCCCAGTAGTCCAGAATTTCATTTACCTGAAATACAGACAATGGTTAACAGCACCCTAAAAATTATTAATGAGAAATTTTATATTCTTATAGATTGTTTTTGTAGAATTTCATACTCTGTCAAAAGCTAAAACAATGAAAGGATTTTCTGAAAGCTGCCAAATGGAACAACACCAAGTTAACTCTATAGTCAATTCTCTACTACATCCCAGCCATGCTATTATTTTACTTGATTACTTGTTCTGAACTATGCCCCAGCTACTGACCTTCTCAAGGTTGAGTATCGTGGCCATCTGGGTGAGTCGCGCAAACTTGTCTCGTATCGTCCATGTCGTCACTGAGGTGAGGTAGCCTACTAAGGCACGGAGCTCCTTGTCAAACTGCAAACCTCCCAACTGAAAGAAAAATGTTAAAATATGGTTATAAGTATTTTGATGTATGTACTAACTATGCATGTCAATATTGGGATGTATTACACATCTTCTGAATAGAATAGCAGTCTCTTAGCGCCCAGAAAAAAAAATGAAAAATAGAAAATTTGTATCAAAAGTACCACATTATCTTTTCATTTTTTTCTCATACAACTATAACTTTTTGACAATTTTAATCTTACTTAAAATGTTACTATTTGCACCAATGGAGTCTGTAAAAAGCAATACGACAGAAATGGGAAATCACCATTAGGACAAAGGAATTGTATAATAATTTTGCAATGTTATAATAAAAAATGCAGAAGAAATTTTGCTGCTACCAATAAGGGAAAATGTAAGCATTGTTAAAAAAAAACATGAATAAATGGAATTTTCTTACCCTATTGAAAGACATTTTTAGCACTGCCTTTTCTAGTTGTATGGTGACCTCAGTGGTCACATGACTCACAAATGTATCATTATTGCCTGTTGTCAGCGAAGCCTGGAAAGAAACAAATTCAAAAATAGGATGTTACAAAAAAACTATTTCAAGGGGCAAAACCAAATCAGATATTTCAAAAAAAAAAAAAAAAAAATCAATTCCTAGTAATTTTACTGACTTATCTCGCATAAGGTTGCAACAGCAACATTGCCACAAGTCTTCATAGTGAGGGCAAATAAATGGCTTTAATGATTAATAATTTTAAATTTGATAAATATTACAAAATACAGGCCTCCTGTCACCTTAAATGTATTGAGAAGATTATCTAGCTGTACAATGAAGGCCTGGACCCAGGGGTCATTGGCTTCATAGTTAGTAAACTCCTCCTGAAATGGAACAAGAATTCAATCATTTCATTCCCTATACTGCCACAGCAATCAAAATCCTTCAATCCAAAAAAAAAATAATAATAATAAAAAATAAATAAATAAATAAATAAATCAAATCAAATAAATAAATAAATACGTTAATTATAAAGTGCACAACACATTTGCTAGTAAATATACAAAACAAAACAACAACAACAAAAAAAATTAAAATCAATTTCATTCCCTATCCTGCCAAAGAAATAATAGATTTATCATTTCAAGTAAAATAGACTGGATTTATAATGTACATAACACATTTGTAAGTGATAATAATAATAATAATAGCATGTAAGAATCTCTTTTATCCACTCACATCATCAATTAAGTGGCTAGTGGCAGAGAAAGTGTCCACCCAGGGCTTGATACGAGGTTTAATGGCAGCACTGTATAGCTGGGTGAAGCCAAACTCTCGCACCTCTCGGAATTTATTAGACACTGACGCCAGCTCTGACAGACAACTCTGAAATATCAATGAAAAAAGAATGCTTAAGTCTTCTCATATTTAATTTGTAAATGAGTGTCTAGTGTTTTTTATAATAATTATATTGTAATTACATTTAATCAATTAAAGCCCACAGAAATTTTGGAGAAATAAAATTGTCTAGGCAAAACATGAAAATTTACAAAATCCCAAATGCACCTACAAAACAGGCAGAGGATGGGACAAACTTAGTTGGTAAATCAATTTAATTTCCTTTTAAATCAAATTCTGTTTTAAAAATCCTAGAGAGAAAAGACAGAAAAGTATATAAATAAACAAAGAAAAGTCATCCAAGAACCACACCAGTGGCTTCATACCTCCAGTTTTTCTTGACTGTGCTGATGTACATGGCCAAATACTTTGGTGATCTCTGCCTGATTAAATGGAGTATTGGAAAATAAATTTATTAAACAACACTGTTATAAACCATCTAAATATCACTAAATTATTTTCTTCTAACAGCAAAATAATAACTCATTTCTAAGACTGACAAAAATACTTGATAAGAGAATTGAATTTTGTCAGACACAGAATTAATATTAAGGTATGCATTAAAATAAACAAACCTGCAGGTTTTTCTTTAATGTCTGTATATAATCACTGCTTACTTCTGTGTCATTTAACATGCACTGGAAAAAAAATCAGTCACACAATTAGCTAGATTGTTTACCGCATTCTTTTTTAAATCATCCAAGCAGAATAAATCTTATGAACAATTTTTTTTCATTTGTGCTTTTTTTCCATTGGCATAAATTTAACATCAAGCTTAATTTCATTTCACAGAAATAATCTCTAGAGCATAATCTCTAGAGCAAGTTCTATACACCATGGAGCTTTAGAAATCCCACTCACCAGAAAGTTCGCCTTAGCTTTTTCTGTATCAGAGCTCTGTAGTTTTCCCTGCTGTATACTAGACTGCACTAAGTTATAGGCCTGAGTGAGATCAAACCCAGATGGGAAACCAAGCTTTAGACGGCTGTGTAGCTCCTCTTTGAAGTCCTGTTCCAACATTGTGCAAGCATTATTCAGCATGGCACACACGCCATCAACACTACAGCTAGACATCGCACGCCTGAAATGAAATGTTGGATTTAAATAGTGGAAATGGATTAGAGGGAGTAAATAAACACGAGTTCAAAAGTCAAACTGTCTTAAATAAATTGCTATCAGAATATTTTTAAAAAAAAAAGAATTTACATATTAAGGAACAGTTCCTCACTTTTAAATATTTATAATCATCATAATTATTTTCTATTTCTCATTCTACTACTGCTGAAAAGCACTGAATGAAATGATAAAATGTGCACTTGAAATAAATGAGTCATTTTTTTCATAATGGATATTCAATGTAAAATAAGACATTTAACATTTTTACATTTTATAAGTTAATTACTAACTTATTTAATTGGTTAATTAATTAATTGATTGATTAATTAATAAATTAATAAGTAAATAAGTTTATTTTGTAGAGAACTATATCCTAACAATCTTGGACTTAAATTGTCAGGGTGCTATCATACACCAGTTCTGGTTGATATCAGCAATAAAAAAAATCAATTAAATATGCCTATTTCAGGTATCTTAACTATTATTTTAATAAAACAGAGATTTTATAAAATGAATTTATCAAAAATATCTCAGAACTTTATTAATAACTTGTGGCAATCGTTATCTAAGAATCATTCTTTACATATATTTTTAAGCATTACAAAGTCATAATGTATTCTTTCATTACACCCCATTTTGGTTGCATTTCTTTATATGCAAGTTATATATAAGTACAGACAAACACTTAAATCACAGGTGGGTCAGGTGAAAATGCTTGCTTTAGGGGTGTACCAAGCACCCTTGGGAAGGTCTGAGACTTAAGTCATCAACCCTCTAGCAGGGGGTTCATCTTAATAGATGAGTGGACCCACTAGAAACAGGCCGGACAAGGCACCCTGGCACGAGATTCTGTACCACCCAGTTGTGGGCAGTTGATGCCATGTGCTTGTGTCCTGGTTGGAACGGTCCATGACTGGCATGATAAGTGCAATATGCAAGGTGATGCACTGCATCATAACCCAATTCAGACTACTCTCTCTCCTGGCCTCCTTCCTTTTGTAAGTTTTGCGTTTAGCATTTCAGTGTGAATATCAATAAGGTAAGCAATTCATATTATGGAAACCAGAGGAAATGCAGCTTTGATTTATTTTGATTTTTATATTTTCTGAACCTTACTTGTGGAAAAAAATAATAATAAATAAATAAATAAAAAAAGACCACAGAATGACACTATATGGTGTAATCTTAAATGGTAAGTTATAAAATTGCTGGACTTTTCAGGATTATTTTTGGGACATAGAGATATGACTGGTAAGTAAAATACAGAATATCATTCTCCTCACCTGACACATTTCTTGACTATGAAAAATGCATCGTCCACCATACTAGAAGTCATAGCACCACCTTCATAAGTGTCCATTTTCACAGCCTGAAATGGTCATTTAAAATATCACAACACAGATATTGAAAAAAAAAATGTGATCATTTCCAGTAAGGAAAATGAATACAAGCAATTTATATGAGCAAATATAGTCCTTTCAGTGAAGAAAAAAAAAAAGGAAAGGTATCAAAAGAGCATTTTTATTCAAATTGAGACTCAAGGTCTGAGACTTGAGTTTACTTATCAACCCTCCAGCAGGGGTCATCTTAACAGAGGCATGGATTTGCTAAAATGCTACCAGCAAATGATGATGATGATGACAATAACATAATACCATAGTGATTCACCAGAAGAAATAAATAAGGAAAAAAAAACACACACACATATATATATATATATATATATATATATATATATATATATATATATATATATATATATATATATATATATATATATATTGATCGTCCAGCAAGTGGCTGTGTTTAATCCTAATTGACCACACTGTCCCTTACCTTGACCACCATCTCCTTCATAAAGTACTCCTCCATCATGATATAACTCCCCACCAGTTCCTGCATCAGCCGACTCAGATCACAATCACTGAGAAACTTATCCACCTCTGCAACTTTCTCTATATTAATGAGATTGAATTTGTTACTACCCTGTCAGTGACTATAATGTCAAGGTCATTCCTTTTCAGAATAGTGCTTGTGATTTTGATGACTTATGTTCATCATTTTTTGAATGTTGGTGAATTAGTTTTTTCAGTTTGAAATAGCTTCTCCAATCTCCACTCTTAAGACAATTATTAAAACACTCCATCCAGGTAGATTTAGATATCTAACTTACCTGTCCTGTCTTCCTCTTGACTCACTTCTACATCAGCCTGGAAAATAACATAGAAACTTTTGAACATAAATGGGCAAAGTACATTGTTTGAACAAGACAAGCAATTCAAAATGCTACTCATGTAAAATGTAAAATAAAAGGTAAACAATGAGTATGTCAAAATATGCTAGTTTTAAAGCAAATTCATACAATTTTTTCAGTGTCTAAAAATGCTGTATAAAAGACTTTTTTAGTATAAATAAAATAGCACAATCTAATCTTGGCGGGCATTGGAATGCCCATCCCCTGAAAAGTAAATGCAACTCCCATTTTCACCAAATACTAACCACAACTTGCAACATAAGAAAGTTTGAGAATGTAAAAGTTTCAATCTGGGAGATCATGCTGAATAAATTTTAGTGAGACTCCACTGTCTGAATACTGACCACATCATAAGGAAATTTGAGAAGGTAAACTGAATAAGAACAAAAGTGAGTGATCGATGTCAGAATACTGACCACGACTCTCCTCCTAACAAAACGCAAGTACAGCTCTGCCCTGGCATTCATGAGGGTCAGCTCTGCTAGAAGGACATCCAACTCTTTGGGGTCTATTCTGAAAGTAAAATAAGGTAGCTTCAGAAGATAAAATTTGCAACATGTAAGATAGTGTTGTAAACAATGTCTTAATAAAACCTAAAAGTAGCTAACTAACAGATTTGAATGATGCAAAAAATAAAAATAAAAATATTAACAGCAATTCCTATTGTTTGATGACATCAGGTAAAGTTATTATAAGAACAATTTTAAGAACAATGCAAACGATGCCCTTATGCCAACGTGGTAAACAAGTCCAGTTTTGTAAAATACAAAGGGGAGGCACTCACTTTTCTGCTGCTGTTGCTCGGGGCATGGAACTCTGTCGAACTTTTTGTACCTGGAATTTAAGATTTTAAAGAATAAGAAGCAGATTGAGGCCGTTTTCTGTGTCTTTAAGTGTACATTGACAGGTATATATTTTTTCTGTCGGAAGAAGGTCAAAAATGGAGAATGGATCAACAAAGATATTTTGGAGGGTGTCAGGAATATATCTCTGGATCTGCCCCTGAGAATTGTGATTGAAAAATGTATTACTTAAGTAACAACATATTAATTCCATTCATTACATATCTGGTAACCTTTGATCAGTTTGATTTTCATGTTTATAAAAAACATTGAGAAAATCTTAAAAATCAAAGAAATTAGTTAATGGAATAACTATGCATATTATACAGTCTCCTTTTTGACAAACCTTTCGGGTAAAATCACGACTCTCCTTGAATTTTTCAACAATTTTTCTTGTCTGCCTGTCGCATTCTTTTTGCAGAGCAGCCATAAAGGGGAACATCTTTCCAGGACCTAAAACAAGACAAAGAATTGTTGACTATTAGATAGTGAATGTGAAGTAAAACAAATTATCTTCACTATAACACTATTACCACTATTTATACACCTTTGGGGGTTTGTTACATTATGATCTTTTAAAAACCTACCATAATATGTCTCCACTAAGGGCTGGTGGATTTCCACCACCCTAGCGATACCCTCAAATAGCAATGTGATTGTATCAGCAAAGATCACAGTTGAACGCTTGTCACTGGATTTCACACTTAAAGCTTGATTAAGATTGGTCTCAGCTGTCTCAGATATCTGAAAGTACCAGTTTTAATCTGTTTATAATAATAATAATAATAATAATAATAATAATAATAATAATAATAATAATAGTACTACTGCACAAAACTCAAACAATTATGACCTTGTCATAACTCTGATGATACAATCTAATGCACTAGGAAAATATCTAAATGCAAAAAAGATTTTAGTTTATCCTTTATTAAAAATAATTTCCCATTCATCAACAGGTCAAATATATAGTTTTTACTTAGATACAGTTCATTCCCTTCAGTTTGCTAGCCTCTTTATTTTGATAATAACAAGAAAAACTAAAATCAGAATCATCATAAAAATTTCTTAAAGGGAAAAAAAATCAAGAAAAAGCAATACCTGGGCTGACAAGTATTTGGAAAATTTGGTGAGCCCTTCATCATGAAGATTAATAAGAGGGAATATTTTGAAGAATCTCTCTACAGATGCTACATCTTTGGAATGCACAGCCGCATCAAAGTTTTTGTGAACTATTTTCTTGAGCTTGGACTCGGCTTCATGTAATAACTGGAAGGATGTATCAAGTGTGCTGCCTGGAACCAAAGAAAGTCAATTTAACATCAATAAAAAAACAACATGATCTTGTAATAATATATCACATAAGGATTTCATAATCACAGTAAACTAAAACATTATGGAAGAAAAAGCACTGTAACCCATTTCTGAAGATGTCAATTATAACAGAAATGTTTACCTCAGAGAGTTGAAGTAGAGAATTACTTTCAAACAGTCACACTCACACACAAACATTCAGCACACAATATCTTATTTCCTATATCTTGAATGTTATCCCAGTTGCAGCACCATCATATATAGTGGACAGCCAGAACAGCTATTTATAGTCTCTCACCTTCATTTGATCCTTCTGTCATCCTAAGGACATTTTCATCCAGACTCAGGAACCTATGGATGTGAGCTGCTGCCTACAATAAAAATATTCTTTCATCCATAACTATACTAAATATCAGTGTTGCGAAATTTTCCTTTTTATACAAAGTTCTGTTCTACTTTTTTTTGATCATGAGCAATAACACTCTTTCTTTTCTTAAAAAAGGACATAATATAACTACATGCATTAGTTGTCAGAAATGCATTGAAAATTTGCAACTTGGGTCCTTGCTTCTCATTACATTTCCACTACATGTACCTTCCAAACATCTTAATGTGCTTAATGATTTTGGTAAATACTATTTTGATATGTGTTAGCTGTTAGAGATACAGACTACAGATACATTACTTGTACCTTCTAACTGTGCATTATGACTTTGTGAGGAGAAAAGCTAAAGATGAAACCCTACCCTGTTTTACTAACCTGTTCATAATCTTCATTCTGAAGTGCTGTCTGAACACCATCAGTGCAGAATTTAAGATCCAGCACATCTTCAACTCTCTGCATACAGGCCGTGACATGACTCTGGAGTTCAAATGCACTCACACATGATTCAATGTATGTTTATTCATCAAGAAAGGCTTTTTTAACTCAAATTCTCACCTCTCCTCTCTTCTCTCTTTCTCTCAGCTGCTTCACTTCAACATTTAACATGCTTAGGGGGTGTGTTACTTAAGGTTTCAAACCCCCCATGTTTCTTAAAATTTTACTTTTCTATTTTTTTTTTCAGACACTATTAACAGTGATTATTTTGGAACAAAACTAAATGTTGCAAGACTGATTATTACCAGCACAACACGTTTGGGTGGAAAGGGGGGTATTAATTCATGATGTTTGATTTACTGTTTGCTGTTGAAATGTTTGAGATATAACTGTACATGCCTGTATACTTACCTTTGCCAGATCTAGCAGTCGTACCTTCTCTCTGACATTTTCAGCTAGTGTCACAAAAATTCACTTCTTATCAAGAGTATGTTCTGCAAATATCTTTTATTAATTTGTGCTGTTTGATTTATCTAGCTGTCGTACATTAATGCAGGTTTTTTAAAATTCATTTAATATGCTGTTTGATTTATTGAGTGATTAACGTATATGCCTACCTTGGCCAGATCTAGCTGCCATGCGTTTATGCTGGTATTTTTCTATTAGTTTATGCTGTTTGATTTATTGAGTGATTTTCGTACATGCCTACCTTGGCCAGATCTAGCTGTCGTACTTTCCCACTGACATTTTCCGCCAGTGTCGAGGTGAAGGAAACCATGCTGGATAACTGACGAGAGTCTGTATGTAATAACTGCAGATTGGGGCTGAAAACAACACCATAAGACAATCACAATTCAATCAATTTTTTTAATGTTTTTTTTTCTCATTATGTAGATTACTTCTACAGCTATTTAGTTATAATGTTTTTTTTTTCCATAATTTTATTTCTTATTTATTTATATAGTTATATTTTAGACTATGTGGTTTGTGCATGTGCATGCCATACAATTGCACATCAACAGAGTTTATTTAGAAAGTGGTCTTAATGCATGGACTGGGAATGATCCAAATCATTACATACAGCATTTTGTGTAAACTAAGCATCTTTGTTTCAATTGCTGTCTGGTGCTCCTGAAGATCTTCCAGTTCTTGGTTCAAAGATTCCTAGAATAAAATGTTTATGTCTCATTAATTGTATTTTGAAAATCTTTATGCCTAAGTACCCCCCAAAAAAAACAACCTCTTCCGTCACACTTTTGAATGAATGATTCATGTTGTTAGACAAAAGAATTAACAGTAATCTTGAATAAAGTCATATGACAAGGAAATTCCCCCTCTCTAATCTCTGCCCTCCTAACTCCGAAACATTCCATGTACGGGTCCTTTAAAACATAGAAATGGACCGAAATGGATAGAAATGGACCAAAATGGACCGAAATGGGCAGAAATGGACCGAAATGGNGAAGACCCAACAGCTGCTGACATACTACGAGCTGGACCTGGGATTGAACCATGTGGTCAGAAAATACTCCGAGCAGTTAGAGGAGCATGCTAACTTCTTAGTAACAGGTGACTCTTAGTTATGTTTTGGTTCTGTTCTGTCTTATCAGAATGTAGCAGTATTTTTATTGGTGAATATTAGCCTATTGATGAGAGGCTGAGCCACAAGTAATAAATGGGAGTTAATAGGACCTTTAATTGATACACTTGACCAAAAAAATTGGAAACTTAATTGTTTTTCAATAATTAAAGAACTGTGTAATATAGTGGATCTTCATTGTGTAAAAAAAACGTAAGAAATGGTGAGTGCCTCGTCTATCAATATTTGGTTAAAATATTTACCTTAGCTCATGTGGTTATTTTATGGTTATTCAAAATAACAGTGTTTCTCAGCTTTTTTGGTCAAGTGTATGTGCAACATGACAGCTTTATTGACATTAATGTGATATTGTCCTGGTTCTTCCAGTCCCTGGAGGCACAGAGGGTCCCAGTGGAGTGTTGATCTGCTCAGAAAACTATATCACATACAAGAACTTTGGTGACCAGATGGACATCAGGTGCCCCATTCCCAGGAGGAGGGTAAGCAGATGACCAGTCTATTTCCTATGTTCATAGTGTGTTAAGAGAGCATGTTTTTTCACTCAAGCATTTACAAGGTCAGAGAGAAAGAGCACATGCATGTTCATGTTTTTGGGAGGGGAGGGATAAATCATGAATTCACACTTGTATTCTGTTGTATTGCATGATTTAGAGTGTTGTCTAGATGAAGCTAGTGAATGTAAAATACTAATGAAATGCCTTTTACATTGTATCAGTAACTTACTATATCAGACATGGAAAACATACTCTCAGAAAACAGCTCATCCTCACCACTATGTTCCAGAATGACCTTGATGACCCAGAGCGAGGGATGATATTTGTATGCAGTGCCACACACAAGACCAAAACCATGTTCTTCTTCCTGGCACAGACAGAGCAGGGGGACATCTTCAAGATAACACTGGAGACAGATGAGGACATGGTGGGTGCATATATATATCTATGGCTGTGTGGTTTGGCAGAAACTTGATGACAGCGTTCAACGTGGTGTGGTATTTTATCTAAAAAGAGTAATTCACACCTTGAATCTTGCCATAGTAGTATAGAGCAGATTGTGTTTAAATTTCTTGTTCTGTGATTGCATATTTGATGTGTTAAGAGAAGGAACACATAACCCTTATGTAAGATGTCCTACAGGAAATTTTTGTAAGGAGAAGTACAGGTTTCGGTGTAATTATTCCAGTTAAAGTTACCCAAGTTACAAACTTTAAGTGTCTTATTGGCAATGAAGTGGTTTACCGATATAAATTATCTTAACTCAAAGCATAAGAAAATAGCAGTCCATTCTGTTTTATTGAACAGGTTCTGAAATGATGTTTCAAACAAAGTAAACGTCCTGATATTCAGTGACTGACAAACTTCACCTGATCAGAATATACACTTTGGAATACAAAACTTCTTAGTAGTTCGTAGTATGGTAATGGATTTTTGATTAATTTCAGGTGACAGAAATCAAATTGAAATATTTCGACACAGTTCCTGTTGCCACGGCAATGAGTGTTCTTAAGACGGGATTCCTCTATGTTGCCACAGAGTTTGGAAACCAGTGAGTATTATTTCATTGTTTTGAAAAATTTTATCAGTAGTTTACTTTCATTATTCTGTCAGGACTGTACACAGGAAGTCGGCTGTTTTGTGTGGCCTGAAAGCAATACTGATTTTACTATGTTTACAATAATATTAATTTTATCAAATCTCTTTATAGAAATATTTGTTAACTTATACATAGATATTCTCATGCAAGTACCAGCAGAGCAGGAGATCTCACTGTATTCCTGAACTTCCTAGAGACTTGCTAGAGAAATGAAACCAGAGTAGTTTGAGACACTGCTGCCATCTATATGCAGTTTGTGTTATAGGAATCTCTGACATTTTTGTACTTATTTCTTTGATTTTGAATAAGCTTTAAAAATTTGATACACCTGAAGGTTTTACACTATCATAGACATATTTAATTTTTTTTTAAATTTTTAAGTATGTATATTATCTTAAAATTTATACTAGTTATTATTATGTTATCAATTAATCAAATTTGAGCACATTGTATGTGTTATAATTTCAGTTACCTGTACCAGATAGCTCACCTGGGAGATGATGACGAGGAGCCAGAGTTCAGCAGTGCAATGCCACTAGAGGAAGGAGACACATTCTTCTTTGCCCCCAGACCTCTCAAGAACTTGGTCCTGGTGGATGAAATGGACAGCTTGTCTCCTATAATGAACTGTCAGGTAAGTGAATGGGTGCAGGTGGGAAAAAAGGATACCACTTTCTGATAAAAAATGTCTTGTTTTAGCCAAATTGTCATTAAACAAATGAAGCTTTGTTTTCAATAGCTTCAGTTAAAGTGAGATTCGCCAATCAATATTTTGTCCAGCTATACAACTAGCTAACGATACTGTTCAACAAATTGTTATTGTCTAGTCCTACACTTTTGGGTCAGATAAAAGATTTAGCAATCCAGCTAATTTGGGTATTTGGTACTTACCTAGTATAAAACTATAAAACTGGCTGTGTAATTTCTTTCACAGTCTGCACAATTTTTGAGTCAGCTCTTCATAAAGAACATATCTCAGATTCCTCACTACCGNGAAAACCCAACAGCTGCTGACATACTACGAGTTGGACCTGGGTTTGAACCATGTGGTCAGAAAATACTCCGAGCAGTTAGAGGAGCATGCTAACTTCTTAGTAACAGGTGACTCTTAGTAATGTTTTGGTTCTGTTCGGTCTTATCATAATGTAGCGGTGTTTTTTGTATTGGTGAATATTGGCCTATTGATGGGAGCTGAGTCACAAGTAATAAATGGGAGTTGGAAAGACCTTTTATTGATACACTTGACCAAAAAATTGGAAACTTAATTATTTTTCAATAATTAAAAAACTGTGTAATATAGTGGATCTTCAGTGTGTATAAAAAAAGTAACAAATGGTGAGTGCCTCATCTATCAATATTTGGTTAAAATATTTACCTTAGCTCATGTGGTTATATTATAATTATTCAAAATAAGGATGTTTCCTAACTCTTTTGGCCAAATGTGTATGCAACATGACAGCTTTATTAACACTAATGTGATATTGTCCTGGTTCTTCCAGTCCCTGGAGGCACTGAGGGTCCCAGTGGAGTGTTGATCTGCTCAGAAAACTATATCACATACAAGAACTTTGGTGACCAGATGGACATCAGGTGCCCCATTCCCAGGAGGAGGGTAAGCGGATGACCAGTCTGTTTTCTATGTTCATAATGTGTTAAGAGAGCATGTTTTTTCACTCAAGCATTTACAAGGTCAGAGAGAAAGAGCACATGCATGTTCCTGTTTTTGGGAGGGGAGGGATAAATCATGAATTCACACTTGTATTCTGTTGTATTGCATGATTTAGAGTGTTGTCTAGATGAAGCTAGTGAATGTAAAATCTTCCTAATGAAATGTCTTTTACATTGTATCAGTAACTTACTATATCAGACATGGAAAACATACTTCTAGAAAACAGCTCATCCTCACCACTATGTTCCAGAATGACCTTGATGACCCAGAGCGAGGGATGATATTTGTATGCAGTGCCACACACAAGACAAAGACCATGTTCTTCTTCCTGGCACAGACAGAGCAGGGGGACATCTTCAAGATAACACTGGAGACAGATGAGGACATGGTGAGTGCATATATATGGCTGTGTGGTTTGATAGAAACTTGATGACAACGTTCATCGTGGTGTTATATTTTATCTAAAAGGAGTCATTCACACCTTGAATCTTGCCATAGTTGTATAGAGCAGATTGTGTTTAAAATTCATGTTCTGTGATGGCATATTTGATGTGTTAAGAGAAGGAACACGTAACCCTTACGTAGGGTGTCCTACAGGAAATTTTTGTAAGAAGTACAGGTTTAAATGTAATTATTCCAGTTTAAGTTACCAAAGTTACAAACTTTAAGTTTCTTATTGGTAATGAAGTGGTTTGCCGATAAAAATTGTCTTAACTCAAAGCATAAGAATATAGCAGTCCATTCTCTTGTATTGAACAGGTTCTGATATGATGTTTCAAACAAAGTAAACGTCCTGATATTCAGTGACTGACAAACTTCACCTGATCAGAATATACACTTTGGAATACAAAACTTCTTAGTAGTTCGTAGTATGGTAATGGATTTTTTATTATTTGCAGGTGACAGAAATCAAATTGAAATATTTTGACACAGTTCCTGTTGCCACGGCAATGAGTGTTCTTAAGACGGGATTCCTCTATGTTGCCACAGAGTTTGGAAACCAGTGAGTATTATTTCATTGTTTTGAAAAATTTTATCAGTAGTTTACTTTCATTATTCTGTCAGGACTGTACACAGGAAGTCAGCTGTTTAGTGTGGCCTGAAAGCAATACTGATTTTACTATGTTTACAATAATATTAATTTTAATTCAAATCTCTTGACGTATTAATAGAAATATTTGTTAACTTATTCATAGATATTCTCATGCAAGTACCAGCAGAGCAGGAGATCTCACTGTATTCCTGAACTTCCTAGAGACTTGCTAGAGAAATGAAATCGGAGTAGTTTGAGACACTGCTGCCATCTATATGCAGTTTGTGTTATAGGAATCTCTGACATTTTTGTACTTATTTCTTTGATTTTGAATATTTTGAATAAAAATTTGATATACCTGAAGGTTTTACACTATAATAGACATATTTAATTTATTTAAATTTTTAAGTATGTATATTATCTTAAAATTTATACTAATTATTATTATGTTATCAATTAATCAAATTTGAGCACATTGTATGTGTTATAATTTCAGTTACCTGTACCAGATAGCTCACCTGGGAGATGACGACGAGGAGCCAGAGTTCAGCAGTGCAATGCCGCTAGAGGAAGGAGACACATTCTTCTTTGCCCCCAGACCTCTCAAGAACTTGGTCCTGGTGGATGAAATGGACAGCTTGTCTCCTATTATGAACTGTCAGGTAAGTGAATGGGTGCAGGTGGGAAAAAAGGATACCACTTTCTGATAAAAAATGTCTTGTTTTAGCCAAATTGTCATTAAACAAATGAAGCTTTGTTTTCAATAGCTTCAGTAAAAGTGAGATTCACCAATCAATATTTTGTCCAGCTATACAACTAGCTAATGATACTGTTCAACAAATTGTTATTGTCTAGTCCTACACTTTTGGGTAAGATAAAAGATTTAGCAATCCAGCTAATTTGGGTATTTGGTACTTACCTAGTATAAAACTATAAAACTGGCTGTGTAATTTCTTTCACAGTCAGACTGTCTGCACAATTTTTGAGTCAGCTCTTCATAAAGAACATATCTCAGATTCCTTACTACCAGGCTGAGGCACAGGTCTGATTTCCATCATGACCTAACAGTATGGTTCTATGTTCTCAGATAGCTGACCTGGCCAATGAAGACACACCCCAGCTGTACACACTGTGTGGCAGAGGACCCAGGTCTACACTCAGGGTACTCAGGCATGGTCTGGAGGTAGGTGGGGAACACACTGGTTTATGGATCCTTCTGGTATCATATAGGCACTTTGTTGCCTGTAACAGTGAAATAAGAATTCTGCATGTGTTTGACATTGTTTTGGGGACCCTACTACTTTTGTAAACACTTTTTTAACATGAGAGAGTTCAATTAGGAGTGCTACATATGTAAATGAGAATTCATGTCATGTATTGACTCTGAGAATAAAAATGTGACCCTGTATTTGACTTTTGACCTACTCTCAACCATGAAAGGCACTTTTCATTAACCCAATATATGTCTGATGAATTTGATATTTTTGCCATTGGCAATATTGTGTAAAAGAAGGAGACTCTTTCTTGTTTTCTCCTCAATAATATACAGCTCGATAATTCATCGTGTTGTCATGTTTTAGGTATCAGAGATGGCCGTATCAGAACTTCCTGGTAACCCCAATGCTGTGTGGACAGTGAAGAGGAATGTAGAAGGTAAGATCCGTGGTTTTATATGGTGAAGTAGCTGGCAATGCACACTGGGTTCTACACACTATATCAAGGGAGACATCATTTAATGATAGCCAAATGTTTACTATCAGTTTTGATGAAAGATCTTTGAAGGATAAAAAATTAAATTATGTCATCTGGTTTGAATTCAAATCAAAAAGAAGTGGAAAGAGGTCTGCAGGTTGAAATTGACCAGCACCATATCCTGATGCTTATTGTGGTATTTTCTGGAAAGTAAAAGAAGTGACTTTAGAAATTGGTGTGCATTGCTAAAGTAACTTCTGAACATTTCTTTTAGTTCAACCATCTTGAATGAAAACAAAACTTTTTTGAGAGCAGTCTTTGGTGTGGTCTGAAAACTCAAATAGCTGTAAGCTTAGAGGATGCAGAACTCTAAATTGAGAAGCAATACATGGATATGGATATACAGTTTGGAATATAAGTGTGGTAATATAACAATGAAAGTTTGCAGTAACTTTCTGGTTTCTTGAATGGCAGGTGACAGTCAGAGAATGCAGTCCTGAAAAGATTTTGTTCCAGATGCAAAATGTTTCACCAATTAATCTCAGCAGTGTTTCATTTGTTTCAGGAGAAAAAGAAACTTTTGTGGTATTTTGTTTTAGGGTATTATGATTTGATGAGGAATAAAAAGTAAAAATATGACCCTTATATATTCTTGTGACTAATTAAAAGTTGAGGTAGAAGTAAGTCTATTTTTTTTTTTTTTTTTTTTTTTTTTTTTTTTTTTTTTTTTGCGTGTTAGGCTAAAAACCAACATAGAATCAGAATTGTCTAAATGGCATAGAAGTATGTCATACTTTTTTTTCAGTGTTCTTATTTATTATTTACATCAGAGCGTTTGTTTGACGACTTACGCAAAAAGAGAAACCAAGACAACAATCAATCAATTTCACAATAGAATCCTTACTAATGGTCAAGGCTGGTCAATTGGTCACTCACCAAAGCCAAGCCTACTTTTCTTTCCAGATCTGGTGACTGTTGATGCTGCTGAGTTGCCATAGCGATGGTTCTGACTAGCACCCTGAGGTAAAGGTCAAGGACATTGGGGTCAAGGCCATTTCTACAATTGCTGAATGGGAAGCATCCATTAGCCAAGCAGAATTTATAAAACTTCAGTGCTTAGAGGATGTCAAATTTATTTTTTAAAACTGGCCATTGTGTAATATTTATACAAAAAAGTAATAGTAGATAACAAACAGCAAAAATTGTAGCTAGGAATGGCTTTCTAATCTGTGACTATTTTCTTTGCATTTTTTTTTTCTCATTTGAAAGATAAGATGGTTATTGAGCACAAGTGATACTAATGTGACCGTTATCTTACTATCATTTCAGAGGAATACGATGCCTATATCATTGTGTCCTTCGTCAACGCCACCCTTGTGTTGTCTATTGGAGAGACGGTTGAAGAAGTGACGGACTCTGGCTTCCTGGGAACCACACCCACTTTGTCTTGTTCTCAACTTGGTGACGAGGCCCTAGTACAGGTATGGTGGGGACTGAAAAGAGATAAGGGTGTGATATTGACTGATAGTCCTGGAGTCTCTGAAATCATGTTAAATGATTTCACAATTGTGTTATGATAGTAGAAGATGGTCTATTCAGAAGAGAGAGTTAAACTTAAAATTACATTATTATAACATTACCAAAGACAAAATTTGTAGCTCTTTTAACGTGTGTTTTGAGAATAGTTTGTGGTGCTTTTGATGAGAATGCCTTGTTCAGTAAGTTTTAGTTTGCGGATGATTATTTGTTTTTGTTAGCTATATTCTCATACATGGCTGTCATTTCTGTATGCTAGATCTACCCTGATGGTATTCGTCACATTCGGTCAGACAAGCGTGTGAACGAGTGGAAGACACCTGGCAAGAAAACGATCGTGAAGTCAGCTGTGAACCAAAGACAAGTCGTTATTGCTTTAACAGGAGGAGAGCTGGTCTATTTTGAGATGGACCCCGTAAGTTTGTTAATGATAATTGATTTAGCCTGTCTTCTGTAACATATTTCTCAAGAAAGTCTCATGTAAAATATAAAAAATACTGAATTTTCATTGTGGGGCAAAAGTATGTTGTATTGCTTATTTGAAACTTAAATGCTTGAATTTCAAAAAATAATTTTACCATTTTGATCTTATCAGACTGGTCAGCTCAACGAGTACACAGAGCGTAAGGAGATGTCGGCAGACGTGATCTGCATGGCTCTTGGCAGAGTGCCAATGGGAGAGCAGAGGTCCAGGTTCCTGGCCGTTGGGCTAGCAGACAACACTGTCAGGATCATTTCCTTAGACCCTTCTGTAAGTTTTGGAACAAAATGTAATATTTTAAAAGGCATGGGGTTGAATTTGTGGTGAAATACTCGATGAAGCGTACTTTGTTGAAATTTTATTTGCTTTTCCCACATTGACTTCAAATTGACTTCATCTTTTTCTTTGGTGAGGAAAAGTTTTAGTAAAACATGTCTTCCCAAATAAGATTCATCACTTGCTTTTTTAACCATTGTGCAAAGTGTCAAATTTATTATTTTTCATTATAACACCTGAAAGTTGATTACAATTCAAATGATTCTCCCCTTTGCTATAAAAAAATGCTGTTGTGGACTTAAAAGTTCAAAGCATTTCATTACCTTAATAGTTTTGGAAATGATGTGATTTTTATCCGTGTTTCACATGAATCCTTTGATTATAATTTCATTTAACTGATCCAAAACTGTGTGTTCAAAAGAAGCTATTTAGATATCTAACAAATTAACTTGTTTTCCTTTTATTTTTCTCGGTCAATTGTTCATTTCAGGACTGCCTGTCCCCTCTCAGTATGCAAGCTCTGCCCGCTGCCCCAGAGTCCCTGTGTATTGTGGAGATGGGAGGTATTGAAGCCAAGGAAGGGGAAGGGGGCACACTGGGGACCATGTACCTGAATATTGGACTGCAGGTGAGCTGGTATGGGTATTCACTGTGTGACACCTGTTGTTTGTGTTTCAAGAACCTGTTTACTTGAATTTTAAATGATCGAAGTTCAATTCTTATGGAAAAAAATTAACTTGGGCACAGCAAACATTTTTGTGGCAAGAAAAGTAATTATCACTTCTTTGATTTATTGAAAATCATTCACAAAGAGCACCCAGGAATATGTTATACAGTATGGTGATAAATATGAAAAATTAATAAATGTATAATAATAATAATAAAATAAAGAGTTTTTTTTTTAAAAAAGCGACTGCCTGTATAATATTGACTGCATAAAAAATAAAAAAGGATGCTGTCACCAAATGTCACCCCAGGTTATGGTCAGCTGTGTTTGTCTTTTAGAATGGAGTCCTGCTGCGTACAGTGCTTGACACGGTGACGGGAGACCTGACGGACACCAGGACCAGGTACCTGGGCTCCAGGGCCGTCAAACTCTTCAGGATCACGATGCAGGGAAATGAAGCTGTAAGTTAACAGTCTCTCGTTTATATATTTATAAAAAAATTCAATGCATTTTGAATTATGGAAATTGGGAGCATGATTCATTTCTGTTTGAAGACTTGGATAAAACTGAATTTAGTAGAGGTATGTTGTTCATTCGTATCTGCTGTTCATTACCTAAACAATAAAGCTAAAGGAAATTTAATGTTATTGGCTAAAGTAACAGTAAAGGCCAACAGATGTCATGGAACTGTTTTAGAGATGATGCTACTATATCCGTGTTTCACATGACTTCTTGTGATTATACCTTGATTGACTGATCGTAAACAGTTCAAGTTTTCTGGATTTATGCTTGCATACATATTTTGTCAATGGTTTTAAATTATTTGCTGTACTTACAGGTTCTGGCTATGTCAAGCAGATCTTGGTTGAGTTATTTCTACCAGAACCGTTTCCACCTGACGCCACTGTCCTATGAGTCTTTGGAGTACGCCTCGGGGTTCTCTAGTGAGCAGTGTCCTGAGGGTATCGTCGCCATCTCAACTAACACACTGAGGTAAGGACAGCAAATTAGAACAGTTTTAGAACTGCTTATACAATATTTCCCCTTCTTGACTAAGCTGGCAGCTGTTTCTCTTTTCTTTCGTTTCCTAATTTCTCTCTTTCTTTCTTTATATTTATTTCTGTCTTATCCTAACAGTTAGTCAATCCTTAACTATTTCAGAGACTGAACAGAGTTTGAATTCATCAATTTGAGTGAAATTTCCTAAAATGAAATTTTACATGCGGCATGTACAATGGTAAATGTTGTAGCTAATTGTGAGTATCATTCTTTACAGGATTTTAGCCCTTGAAAAGCTAGGTGCTGTGTTCAATCAGGTGTCCACTCCACTCCAGTACACGCCCAGGAAGTTTGTCATCCATCCAGAGTCCAGTAATCTTGTTACCATAGAGACTGACCACAACGCCTACACGGAGGAGACCAAGCAGCAGAGGAAGGAACAGATGGCTGAGGTACAGTGTGATAGGAAAATGTCTTGGAGGTTTTGATAGGATAATGTCTCAGAGGTTCTGATAGGAGAATGTCGCTGAGGTTCTGATAGGCGAATACGTCAGAGGTTTTGATAGGAGAATATCTTAAAGGATGTGACTGGAAAATTACTTAAAGGGTTCTGATATGAATATGTCANCTACTGTAACATATTTCTCAAGAAAGTCTCATGTAAAATATAAAAAATACTGAATTTTCATTGTGGGGCAAAAGTATGTTGTATTGCTTATTTGAAACTTAAATGCTTGAATTTCAAAAAATAATTTTACCATTTTGATCTTATCAGACTGGTCAGCTCAACGAGTACACAGAGCGTAAGGAGATGTCGGCAGACGTGATCTGCATGGCTCTTGGCAGAGTGCCAATGGGAGAGCAGAGGTCCAGGTTCCTGGCCGTTGGGCTAGCAGACAACACTGTCAGGATCATTTCCTTAGACCCTTCTGTAAGTTTTGGAACAAAATGTAATATTTTTAAAGTGATGGGGTTGAAATTGTGGTTAAATACTCAATGAAACATACTTTGATGAATTTTTCTTTGCTTTTTCCCATATTGCTCTAAGTTGATCTCTTCATTTTCTTTTATGAGGAAGAGTTTTACTAAAATATATCTGCCCAATTGAGATTCATACCTTTATAAAAACCTTTTAGTTTATTATAATCCAAATTCTCTTTGCTAGAAAAATGCTGTTGTGGACTTCAAAGTTTTAAGTATTTAGTTACTCCCATAGTTTTGGACATGATGTGATTATTATCCGTGTTTCACATGAATTCTTTGATTATAATTTAATTTAACTGATCCAAAACTGAGTGTGTTCAAAAGAAGCTTTTTAGATATCTAACAAATTAACTTGTCTTTCTTTTATTTATTTTTTCTCGGTCAATTGTTCATTCCAGGACTGCCTGTCCCCTCTCAGTATGCAAGCTCTGCCCGCTGCCCCAGAGTCCCTGTGTATTGTGGAGATGGGAGGTATCGAAGCCAAGGAAGGGGAAGGGGGCACACTGGGGACCATGTACCTGAATATTGGACTGCAGGTGAGCTGGCATGGTTATTGACTATGTGACACCTGTTGTTTGTGTTTCAGGAACCAGTTTACTTGAATTTTAAATGATCAAAGTTCAATTCTTATGGAAAAAAATTAACTTGGGCACAGCGACCATTTTTGTGGCAAGAAAAGTAATTATCACTTCTTTGATTTATTGAAAATCACTTTTCAAGAGCACCCAGGAATAAAATACATAGTATAGTGAAAATATGAAAAATGAATAAATGTATTATGATTAGAATGAAGAGAGATAAAAACAAAGTGGATGCCAGTATAATATCCTTTGCATGAAGAATAGTAAGCATGCTGTCATCAAATGTCACCACGGGGAAAGGTCAGCTGTGTTTGTCTTTTAGAATGGAGTCCTGCTGCGTACGGTGCTGGACACGGTGACGGGTGACCTGACGGACACCAGGACCAGGTACCTGGGTTCCAGGGCCGTCAAACTCTTCAGGATCACGATGCAGGGAAATGAAGCTGTAAGTTTACAGTCTCTTGTACATGTAAAAACAAAAAGGAAAAAAGAATTCAATATGTTTTGAATTATGGAAATTAGGAGCATGATTCATTTCTGTTTGAAGACTTAGGAAAAACTGAATTTAGTAGAGGTATGTTGTTCATTTGTATCTGCTGTTCATTACCTAAACAATAAGGCTAAAGGAAATTTAATGTTATTGGCTAAAGTAACAGTAAAGGCCAACAGATGTCATAGAACTGTTTTAGGGATGATGCTACTATATCCGTGTTTCACATGACTTCTTGTGATTATACCTTGATTGACTGATCGTAAACAGTTCAAGTTTTTTTGGATTTATGCTTGCATACATATTTTGTCAATGGTTTTAAATAATTTGCTGTACTTACAGGTTCTGGCTATGTCAAGCAGATCTTGGTTGAGTTATTTCTACCAGAACCGTTTCCACCTGACTCCACTGTCCTACGAGTCCTTGGAGTACGCCTCGGGGTTCTCTAGTGAGCAGTGCCCTGAGGGTATCGTAGCCATCTCAACTAACACACTGAGGTAAGGACAGCAAATTAGTACAGTTTTAGAGCTGCTTATACAATAATTCCCTTTCTTGACTAAGCTGGCAGCTGTTTCTCTCTTTTCTTCTTACTTTCTTTTTCTTTCTTATCCTAACAGATAGTCAATCCTTTACTATTTCAGAAACAGAGAAGAGTTTGAAATCATCCATTTGAGTTAAATTCTCTAAAATGAGTTTTACAACTAGCATTTATAATGATAAATTTTATTGCTAATTATGTGTACTATTCCTTACAGGATTTTAGCCCTTGAAAAGCTAGGTGCTGTGTTCAACCAGGTGTCCACCCCACTCCAGTACACGCCCAGGAAGTTTGTCATCCATCCAGAGTCCAGTAATCTTGTTACCATAGAGACTGACCACAACGCCTACACGGAGGAGACCAAGCAGCAGAGGAAGGAACAGATGGCTGAGGTACAGTGTGATAGGAAAATGTCTTGGAGGTTTTGATAGGATAATGTCTCAGAGGTTCTGATAGGAGAATGTTGCTGAGGTTCTGATAGGCGAATACGTCAGAGGTTTTGATAGGAGAATATCTTAAAGGNATGCATGTTTGTATGTATGCCAGGATCTTTAAGGACGTGAATAAAAGGTGGCCACAGATTTCCAATGTTGCAGCGCTTTAAAACACACTGCAGAATGGTAGGACATGTGGCAGCTTTACATGTGTGTATAAAAAGCCAAAAAAAAAAAAAGATTCTGAAAATCCCAGTAACTTTCATGTTATGATATACCAAGCAGCAGAGAGAAAACTTTTTATAAAAAAATAAATAAGAAACCTAGAACAGTATCTGTGCTTGACTAGAGAATGCATAAAATGAATAGATATTATAAAGTAATTGGATGTGTGGGATGAAGAAAGTAGAAAGTGAAGATAGGACTGAACTGAAGGACAGATAACCAGGAGAGCTATGACAGGCTTGATTAGAGGGAACTCGTTCTATTGAAAAGTGATTATAGAGGGCACTTGTTTTATTGAGAAGTGATAAAAGGGCATTTGTTCTATTGAGAAATGATGGTGGTGTATCATTGTGCCTAGAGGTAATTATTAAATGTGCCTGGGGATTATTAAATGATAAGATAAGAACACTGGAAAAGATTATCAGATCACATTTCAGTTTTGATTATCTGTGACGCACTGGATATTATTTTGTTTACTGAGTTTGAGAAGGATTTGTGAGGCAGTGTGATATTGATGTGTCCCATATAGGTTATTTACTTGACGTAGTGTAGAATCAATGTCTTCAGGGTTAAGAGATGTCAGGTCTAGAACCTGGCTTTCTGCGTCATTAACACAGTAACAAAGGCAATTTTTGTTTATGTTTGCACAGCACTCTGAGCCTTGTGGTCTGTAATATTGTTTGAGCACTAGGCAATTTTTTTTCCAAAAGCAGTCACATGTAAAAATTGCTCTTTGAGAAGTAAAATTTAATATATATATTTTTAGTGTTTGACTTCCTTAATATTAAATAGATAACTGGGTCTTCATTTTAGCTATTGTTAGTTTAAAATGCTAGGTACAACTTATTTTATTTTTTACTGTGTATTGAAAATATTCCAGTGAATCTGTCTCCATATCTGTCTCCAAACATTTCAGTTTCAAAGATTTGTAATTTTTAAGTATTTTTTCAATATCTGAATAATTCATACTGGTTCCTGACATAATTTGCTTACATTTTGAAAAGGCAAAATTACCAAGTTGTTTGAGAATTTAGCAATACGCTTGTTGTACATACTGCATTACGTTATAGATCACATTATATTTGTACAACGGTAACTTTGACTTTTCTGTTTTGGATTTCCAGAATGTTCTGGATGGGGATTTGTGTGAAATGTTTACGTCAATGGAGCCACACAAACAGAAGAGTGTTGCAGAGGAGTTGGACAGAACCCCTAGTGAGGTATGGACTTTTTTTTCATTAATTTGTTTTTAAGAATAAATTGTTAAAACTTAGCAAATATTTCCAAAGCAATTATATCGGAAGTTTAAGTGTCAAATGTTATGGTTTATATATATTTATGTGAGCTGTCCTCATTTATAAATGTGATTACCAAACATTATGCTTCATTTTACTTTATTTTATTGATTAATTTCTTCATATTTGTCCCTTATGTTTTTTTGTTAACATTTTTAGGTATCCAAAAAGCTGGAGGATATCAGAACGAGATATGCTTTCTAAGCCCGTGAGAACTTGTGGACAATGAACTATAAAAAAAATGTAAATTTTGTACAGTGAACCATGGAGCTCCAGTTGCTGGGAAGATTTTTATACAATGCAGACCCAGGTGCAGACGACAGGACTGTCATTGTAGACTAGTTATATGTAACATTTTGTATCATTTTGTGAGAGAGCTGTAACAGTCTGCGCGACATCTGTTTTATTTTTTTACAGTGTAATGAAAATATTCCTGTGAATCTGTCTCCATATTTGTATTAAAATAGTGCTGTAAAAATGAGAAAATGTATATGCCTTGGTTGAAATACTGAAAGAATATTAAATAAATGAACAGAGTGTGGGTTATTAGTTGCTGCCAAGTGATGTCCACATACAAGATTTCCATTGACCTTCTTCATTTGAAGTTCTGACCTGAAAATTGGAAATGAGCCAAATTATGACATAGGTTAATGAAAAAATCATGCTAGTTAATGAAAAAATCATGCTAATTCAATTTGCGCATGCACAATGGAAAACTAATTGGATCTCGAAGATTCTTCGAAAGCCAAATGCTATGTGCTAGTAGTTTAATTAAAACTGACTTGAGAGATGCCAAACCAAGACCCATATTAAAAAACTATAGTCTTGGTTTATTGGACATTTTAAGTAATTGTTTCAGGAAAATGAGCCGACAGATGAAGCACTAGAATTCAAATTATAGACCTTGAATGTGTACACTTGTGAGAAATTTGGTGACTGGTATTGCTTACAAATCACTCTAGTTTATAGGGTGATATTTATATTCAAAAATGATTTTTTTTTTTTTTTATTGTTGCCAAATGCACAACCAGTTATATGGGCAAATAACAAAAAGATATTTTTATGGTTAAATTACCAGAAGATATTTTTATGGTTAAATTACCAGAAGATATTTTTATGGTTAAATTACCAGATGTGGTTAACCTGAAACTTCCAAGGAATAATTGTCTTGGCAACAAAAGAAATGTGATTCTCGCATGTATTGATCTTTGTCTTCTGAGACTTGAACTTATGCCTACCTAATAATCATGATGCAAAAATAAACCTGTACAGAAAAATAATGATACCAATATCCCTTAATAATGCTATTTGTGTTCAGGCAACCTTCCCTTAGACAAGTCTGCCATTTCCAGCAAGTAAACATTTTATGGCCCTTCATTTTTTAAAACCATTTGACAAAACAAAGTTGATCATTATGATTATGGATCAAATGCCAGGTTGGCAAATGTAAGCATGTTGATTCACTAATTATGTTATACTTTTGGCAAATTTTGCGTTGCAGAGCTTTGAGGTATTGGATCAATGTGGGAAACCTGTTACTACTGCTGTGTCACAAAGACCTGTTAAAGAGGATTATTTCTGCTGGCTTACAAGTAGACAATATAAAGAGATTTTTCCGATTGTTTGCTATTATATTACATGATTTGAGCTTGCTTAAAAAGACTTCTTTATAATTTTCACACTTTTTTCAACCACCTGATCATGCAAAATTAAAGCACACCATGCATTGACGGTTTCATGAAGATGTCAAATTTTTAAAAAGCTTTTAAAGTATGAATTTCACAAATGAAGGCATGAAATGAATTGAAACACGCCATTTAAGTTAAGCACACGTAATGTAATTTTTTTAAATTCATCTTACTGGTGTATGATACATAACAATCCAACTATTATCAAGTGTTTTCTGCATTTCACATTTACTTGCAGTGAAATTTGTAATATGTCTCAAAATCTTTCACAAACAGAAAATTGAAATTACGATCTCGCTGTTTTTAAAATTTTGTTACAAAACGCACTTTTATCTGTTTATTACAGTTGACTCTAAGGCGCATAATAAAGAAAATTATTAGTATCGATGTTTAGTTTCTTCCCATTACTATTTTTACCGGAAGTTCAAAATAGGTTAAAATTGTCCAATGAGCACATAAAACTGGAGTCATGTGACGTTTAAATTTAGATGCGCGTACAAGATGCGCAAGTGACAGGTCAAGTTGATTCGGGTCTGACGTACGGTAAGGACATAAGCCTCTGTTTAGGCTTTTATTTTAGAATGACCACAGTGGCGATGAACCTTCTGTGGTAACACTGGCGAAAAGAATTTATTTTAGACTTAGCCGGAGAGATGGCTTTCAGAAGAAAACAAAGTTACGATGGAAAAATCGCCGGATTATACGACCTGGAGGAAACCATCGGACGAGGCCATTTTGCAGTGGTCAAGTTAGCAAGGCACGTCTTCACCGGTGAACGTGTGGCCGTCAAGGTGATTGATAAGACAAAACTCGATGATGTCTCTAGGGCACATCTTTTCCAGGAGGTAAGATGTATGAAACTTGTCCAACACCCTAACGTTGTTCGGTTATACGAGGTTATCGACACTCAAACAAAGCTCTACCTCATCTTGGAGCTCGGCGACGGAGGAGATATGTTCGATTACATTATGAAGCACGAGAAGGGCCTCGATGAGAATTTTGCGCGCAAATATTTCAGACAGATCGTGCAGGCTATTCATTATTGTCATAAACTTCATGTGGTGCACCGTGACTTGAAGCCAGAGAATGTTGTTTTCTTTGAAAAACTGGGATTGGTCAAGCTGACAGACTTTGGATTTAGTAACAAATATGTCCCAGGAATGAAGTTGGAAACTTCGTGTGGTTCACTTGCGTATTCTGCGCCAGAAATACTGCTTGGGGATTCCTATGATGCCCCTGCTGTTGGTAAGTCTGGCATGGCTAAATTTGATATTCAGAATGTTCCTGCTGACCAGTTGATTTTTATTATTATTATTTTCCAAAAGTCGTGTAGTGTCACACAAAAAAATTCAAATAAATTCATGTACTTTTCCGTAAGCAGATTGTATTGAGGCACTGCCAGGTGTAGGTATAGTGCTATGTTCAGTCTCATTTATATTGCTGATGTCTTAATTAGATTTTTAGTTTGTGCTCTAATTATGATGAATATCACAATGATATTTTGTAACATGTTAATGTTTCACAGCTTTGAGATGTGTTCTGAAATATTGCTGACCACTTATTGCTTACATTATTTCAAGATGCACAACCAAGCAGAATTGACATCAAATTAAGAAATATATTTCTGTGTTATTAAGAATCCGAATTGATAATTTATGATTATTATTTCTGGGCAATATTTGGGTCTCTTTTATGATGATAAGTCTTGGATGTTAAAGGGGGGATATATATATATATATCCTGATTTTTGGGGATGAAACAGATTACTAGTGCTGGGAAGTCCTACAATCCTGCTATCAGTACTGTACTCGCATGAAAAACAATAGAAAGCAGTGCAAGGATTGACCTTCTGCAACTGTGTTATAATGAAAATGTATGGAATCGAACATTTCATACAGGTTCAGTCATATTAACAGACTCTCTAGACTGCAATGTTTTCTAGACATTTAATGTATGTAGTATGTGAAATAAAAGCACACGTCGTAAATTTAAATGTGCCTGTCTTAGATCAAATTGCTGTGAAGAAAAAAGCATAAATAGCTCACCTCAGGGATCTTTTTTATGTTTGTCCTTTAAGATAATTTCAGGAAAATGAAAAAAATATTCACTAATAATTACTAAGAAAGACTGGTTTTATTTGGTGCCCAAAATCTCCCAACATTGCATAAAGCTCCGATGAGACTTTCCCAACTTATGTTGGGATTTCGACTTTTTCAGGGTCATTTGGGTCATTCTTGTTAATCGTGTACCCTGTATCTTTGGGGCCTATTTTCCTACTTTTTCAGTGAGGACTGGTCTCATCCCTGATAAAGAGCAGGATTGGATTCTTGGATGTTTTCTAGTCTTTGACACCATGTAGTCCTGAAAGCCTCATTTTAGGTTATGATCTGGGTTGATTTCCATTAATGTTGGAATACACGAGAAGGATGTTAGAAGGCTGTGATGGAGGTGTTTTATGGTGTCTTTCGCAATGAATGGATCGTACAAGGTAGCTCTGATGGCATCTGAGATCTGCAATGTTAGGTCGAACTACCTAGTATGATAGTTTCATTATGAACGCATCCTTAATGTCCTTGCCAGAGGAAAAATACACAAGCATCGATTCCTTGCTGAGCATTACATGTAAACTCTGTGCATGTGGCAGATTGGTAAGATTCATAGATTTCACTGTCATCAAATGCTCCTCTGAAGTACAAGTTCCCATTCCACACAAAACAGGCATGCATCTCCTCACAGCATTCTCTCCCATGTGCTCTAAAATTGCATTTGACAAGCAGACTTCACACCAAAGTAAAACACATTGCATTGTTCTCCTATTTAACGAAGCAAGGTGCTACTTTCCTAAACAACAGCAGTTGAAGACCTGCTTCTCAATGCTCATTATAGATTTTACTTAAATGCATTTATAGTACCTGCAGGTCAAGTATAATAGTTAGCATAATAACAAGGCCCAATGCTGAGTAAACAGAGGTTTGTGAACATGGTGTGATGCGTCACAAAGAGCATTAAAAAGGTTTTAAAAGACTGCATCAGTTCAGGTGTGAAGAAACATTGAACTGTTCCCCAGTGTGTGCCTGTATGGCGATGTACAATACTGATTATTTTTGTTCGCCACAGTTAATGTTTTAAGTGCCACTGTTGATAAAAGCCCTGACTTAAAGTCATGCGGTGCATCGATCTGTGAAGATTGTGGAAGGAGCTGTTCAAAGTTATCTTGATGTTGCGTAAAAGCCAGAGCTCTTCAAGTGGGCATGATTGTATAATATGAATTATCGGTAGCAGTGCTTACTATTGAAATATTGTTATTTGTTGAAATGTTTCCAAAAATAGAAATCGTGCCAAAGGACCTAGTTAAAATGCAAACCTCTTGCTTAAAAGCATGCCAGTGAGCTATTGTAGAGTAACACTCCATGTAACGGATTGGAATTGTGCTAATGGTACGATACTTCATTGAATAATCTAACATTTCAGCATGTATTATGAAGAGCACAGCTTTAAATGAAGTGTTATGTGTGTGACATGTTTGTTAGTGACAGTTTTGTAAATCGGAAAACTTGGCTTTAATATTATGATTATGCCTTGTTGAGTCTGGAAGTCTTCATCATGGATGCAATAATCAATTATAAGGTTACATATTTGAGAACCTCTTACTGTACATAAGTAAAAGGGGAAGTAAATTATATTGCAACATATGTTTTCAAATATTTTCTTCACGCTGGTGTATTTGTTTTAAAGAATGCTTCATATCTTCTTGATATTTACATATAATTTGTAAAGTCAGATAGGCATTTGCCATCTAATGATAGAATAAGCATATATAGTACTAAAATGATCACACTAAAGGCCTCATTTGATGATAAAATATACACTTCCTTTCCTTTGCATTGGTATTTTATACATGCTCCTTTGATTAATACATTATTAATGATTTTGGCCCAATAATTAAGGGACATGACTAGTCACCCATTTAAAGAAGCTCATTAAAATGATTAGTTGGGCTTTTCTCATATAATGCAGTGAGCGTCAGGGCTGTAACAGTGAGATAATGTCATTACCAAGAACAAATGACTCATCGTTTTCAGTCCTGGTAGTAATCTGTCTGAGAATCTACGTAATTTTGACACAGACACTGTATGATAAATGTATTTATATAATGAATCTTCATTATAGAATCTATTTAGTTAAGAAGAGCTTTTATTGATATGAAATGGTCTTGTGGTTAACAATTGTAGAGGTTTTGCATCACAGGTCAGGTGATATTTTTATATTGAAGTTATATAAAACTGAATAGAAATAAATATCCTCATTCCTGGTGTATTTCATTTTAATACAGAAAGCATGATATTTGTGATACAGGGTGTATTAGAAAAAAATGCACCAGGTCACATTGCTTACAAATTACTAGTACTCTGTAAATGAATTCCTCCAGCCCTTCCACGTGATTCACTACATAATCTGTAAAAGTGTGATTCACTACATAATCTGTAAAAGTGTGAAGACATTTGTCTGCAATGTACTGGATAATAAAGAATAAATCATCATGGTTAATTAGATCAGTACTTATGCAGGAGTCAAAGATTGTATCAAGTAGGTTTTCAGACATCAGGGACTTTTGTATGGAGTTTATTTACTTCTTTGTTTTAGTTAATTCTCACATTTTTAACATACACAAATCTGGATGCACTTGTACTTTATTTACTGTTGTAAAATCTTATTCTTAGATAAAACTACCCAAAAAATCTAACAAGTTTCATGCCAGTTCTCCTTAACTCTTTTTAAGTGCTTAATACTGTAATCTGTTTCGTTTACTTCTGTCTCTCCTCAGAAACGAGCAATACTGAGACACTGCCAATAAATCATAAATGGTCCAGGAAGTGTTACTGATAGTGCGAACATTATAACTGTGAATAAATTAACCTTTTAAAAAAGATTTGCTTGATACTTCTGAATAGCACTGTGATCACCAAGATATGTGTTGGTCTTGGTTTAGTTCACTTTTGCCGAGGCCAAATACCTATCCAACATTGGTATCAAATGCTAAAATGTCCCCTAGCTTATATGGCTGATAATTAGGCATATTTAAAATGTTTTTTATGACTGGTACCAATATGTCTGAAGATATCTCTTCCTGGTTGAAGGGGGGAAAAAAAAACTTATTTAAACTATGAACAGGCAATTTATTGTACAATACCGCTTGGGAATAAAGATGAACCGTTCTCTTATTGTGGCAGACTGTTTAATGTAGAGTGACACGCAATGTCCAGTTCTTGGCAGCACTGACTTGACCTCATGGCTAGCTATCATGGATCCTCCACCTTTGTACTTACAGCTAGATGCCTTAGCGTGTCTGAATATTCCGATATAATCATTCACCACACAGGCCTGCAGCCAGTAATGTTAAAGGTGGTGGTGGTGAGGGGGCTCTTTTGCCAAAAATGTGGACCTTCTTCTGCTTCACCTGACCTTACTTGAGAAATGACAGGACCTGGGTCAAAGTTTTATTTTGAAATTGACCTTTTCTTACCAAAAGGACAGTTACTTCAACCCCTCCAAACCCCACCCCCCACCCCCCCCCCAAAAAAAAATTGGGCTAATACCGTAGTCTTTTCTAAGTTGAAATGAAACACTACCTACTAGTAAATATGTTTATCTCTACTGTATCAAGAGGAGAGGGGATTTCTGATTTTATATATGGTAATATACAATTCTGATATCAAAGTAAGAGAAGTGGCAAAATGTAAACTTAAATTACTAGGCTCAAGATAACATGCACAGCTTTTTGCCAAATGCTAAAAAAAAGTTTTATTATGGCAAAGTTCTTCCAAAATAAAATCAATTACCCACTGGTTAACTATAAAGCCTGGATAAATGGGCTACTTGACAGTATCTTTTTTTTTCTTTTTTTTTTTTTTCTCAGACATTACACACCAATAAATTCAAATTGTCTACAGTCTGATGGCTGGCAGTGCATTCCTTTCACCGCACAAAAGCTGACACGGAAGCCAGTTGCAGGTGTAATTAAATTGGAATAAATCAGGTTTTTATCAGGCCACAGCTACAGCTTGTGAACCCAGACAGATTGGAGGACCTTCAACTGAGTACAGAGAGCCTGACTGGTAATGTTTGGGTTCACAAAGCAAAATTTTACTTCAATGAATCACCAAAACAATTTTCCTCTACATATTGTTTTAAACGAAATATTATAGATATTGACAAAAGAACTTGAACCTGTTTTAGTGCTAACT